CAGAAATTCAAGACAACAAAAAATTTTAAGACTGAGATAAAAGGTATTGCAAATACAACTATTACTTGCATTTTGCAATACCTCTTATATTGCAATACTACTTTTCATAAAATTGCCCGGAGTAGTTTTACCTTCCACTAATATGAAATTAACTGCAAGATTTTCTTCATATTCTTTTGCAATTTTTCTGAAAATATCGTAGCCTTTTTTTAATAAAGCCACATATGATCATACATCAAACAGTTCTTTTGTCTCATGAAAGTCATAAAAATTAAAGTAAATTTATAAAACAAATTATGTACATGTGAGATTTTATAACTCTACTAATTAAGCATAAAAATTAGTCGACAAATTTCGTTCTTAGAATCTTTAAACCTCTCTTCTGAAAAGTTGTTTACCGTTTTGCAAAAACAACTATTCTATACAAAAGGCCTACAACAAGAAATAAGAAGGAATGCATCTTTTTTCTATATTTCTAAGAATGATATAAACAAGAAAGAAGTAATTCTTACAATTCCGTTTGTTAGGATAGAATTTCTTTGCACTTACGTGTATTTCCAGCGCAAAATAGATTGGAAAAAACTACAAAGTAAATAAAGGTAGTAAATAAAGAATGCTGTACAGAGCTTAAGGCTGACTATACATGGCGCCACAAGAGTTGCGGCAGTAATAAACTAAAATAGTACATTAGTAAAGAATTGCGGCAACACTCGCTTCCGACTTCTGTCAACACGTATCCGTTGCGGCACGAATGAGATTCTGCGCGTTGTGACTGGTAGAGTGGATTGCCCAATCATGCTACATTGCATGAAACTGCATTTAAAACCATGTCGATGATTTATTTGATATTTAATTTAATTTGTTTAATTATTCTATGTTTTTAAGTTGCCTTTTGTTTATTTTAATGTGTGTAACCTATTGAAGTATCTAAGCTAACATTATAAATGTAAAATATGGACTGTAGTTGTCTGAGAATAAATGATTTTTGTTTTTTTTTTGATAACAAGTAACGCCGCTGCCGCGATAACAAGGGCTGTACGCAGCGGCGGTGCCGCTGTTATTACGGCACCGTGTGTAATCAGCCTTACCCGTGCGTATTGATAAAAAAATGCTAATTGAGTCATACAATAATCACCTCCATTTAAAAAAAAGTAATGCGCATTTGACTTTCCTATCAACACTACATTCATTTTCGTATTGAAAAGGTCCAACTATTTTTCCATTAGGACCCAAATTGCGTATATTTGTTTTTTCAAACAACCCAACATTGCAGGCTTTTTACAGTTCCCGTGGGCAGAGCTGACTCAGCCCGTTAGTTCTGAAACGTTGGTTTGTTTGTATATGATAAATATTCGATTTAGATCCGAAAAAACAAAGTTGTTTCATTTCCAATGTGTAGCAATAGCAAGACCTAAGAAGTACGATATACAAGAAAGTTAAATACACAAATTCCGATTTGATTATAGATGATTATACAATACTTACATATTTTTACCGCCAATCCATATCCATACCAGTAAGAGACCACCTTGAGCTACTTGGTCTGGACTTATCATCCAACATACATATATCGCGTGCTTGGCAAAAACTGCTGCCAGAAAACTAGGCATACTTTACAAGGTCAGGCGTTAGTAGTAGGTTGGTGAAGACCAAGCCAAGCGTGTGTCTATTATATATTAAAAAAAATCGCTTCATTTTAATATATTGAATTGGAGAAAATATGGCTTTCAATACAGAAAGATTCGTCGTGGAGATAGAAAACCGACCGCAAACCGCAATGTACATAATAAATAAAAGCGATTTCTTTCACGTCCATTTCCACCGACACAAACGAATGACTGATTAGGCCCTCGACATACATGGCTTGGCTACTCTTTGGTTACTCTGTTTGACGACCATCGGTAGCCAACTATTCACTGCTGGCGACGGCGCCAAGGTGTCCTGGTGAGACAGGTTTCTATTGTAAACTGTTATCAGATAACTTGTCATTCCGCTGCTTTGTAATAATAATAATAATAAATTTATTTCTCTCCATAAATTTTGGTTACAATTCTTGGCATACAAACATATTTTATTTTCTAATGTGACAAAATTTGTAGGAGACTGGAATCTAAACTAGATCAGAGATCTGTGTCTTAGGCTTCCAGGCTACCCACTTCAAACTTAATGCCATTTAAATTTACACCAATTATAGTAGAGATGTTTAATTTTTTTTTAACATCTACGCTTGAAAATTTAATTAGAGTAGAACCTCTAATTAAATTTTCAATATCAATGTAATTTAAAGCATTTAAGTGACAAATTAATTTCTTTTTCAATTCAAATTTAATGTTATTTGCAATATTTTAATTTTTTATTTAATACATTATACAACCTACCAGCATTAAAAAACATAAATCTTTGCGCGAAGGATGTTCTAACCGACTGTGGTCTACATGGTACCTTCATAGTACCTTCTGTTTTGTTTTTTTCTTAAAATAACGGAAGAATCCACTTTGGCATGTTGACAGAGAATAATACTAAGAATATAAAGTTGTCTGTCCGTGCGTACTCCTGCTTCCGCATATAGTTTTGACGTGTCATATAGTTTCGGCTTAAACAGACTCACCTTAATCAACAATATTTGGGATCTTTCAAGCTCTAGGAGTAGTGTCTTTGGAGCTCCGGCCCAGGCTTTGATGTAATAATTCAGAATCGACTCAACTAAGGCTTGATAAACTATTTTAAGGTACCTTTGTTTGCAATGTGCCGCAAGTGTTTAAATAAATATGCTAATTTTCTTACCCTCTGCGATATCATATGATTATGATCGCCAAAGATTACGTTACTATCAATAACCACGCCCAAACACTTTATAGTGTAAGTCCTACAAATCTCAGGGCAGGCACACGACACATTGCTTGCAAATGTACAGTTATGAGCAATTGGAGATCCGGGAGGCAGTGAATCCAGTCTGTTCCTCATTGAAAAGATGATGTACTTAGTTTTATCGGCGTTAAGTGTCAAAGAGTTACCTGCTAGTCAATGACAGACTGTTTGTCATTGACTAGTAGGTAACTCTTTGAATTGAATCCCGTTTGTGCAAATTTAAAACGTTCTTCCCATGAGCGTGAATAAAATGTTAATATAGTATCGTCTGCGTACGATGCCACCCTGCATTTCGTCAAATCTACCCGACATAATTTGTTTATGTAACACAGAAAGAGTGTTGGACCTATTATCCTACCTTGAGACACCCCGTAAGTTATTGGAAGTTCATCACTTACAACATCTCCAATTTTAACAAATTGGGATCTGTCAGTGAAATAGCTAGTAAGAAAGCAAGAGGGGTACCTCTTATACCCAGTTCCTCTAGTTTATGAATTAGACGGGGAATGGATAACGTATCAAAAGCCTTTGCCAGGTCAAAGAAGATCGTAAGTCATTTGTAATTCCCATCCAATTTTTTAACAAAGTCAGTAAACTCATGAATCGCATCGTCAGTTGAACAACCAGTACGGAAACCATACTGTGTGTCAGCCAGGAGATTGAATTTATCTAGATATTTGATAAGCCTCGAATTTACTATACGTTTATAAACTTTCGACAATATAGTTAGAATTGATATGGGTCTGTAGTTGTTAATACTTGATTTGTGTCCGGCTTTGTGAATGGGATGTACAAATGATTTCTTTAGGGCCTTTGGGAAAACTCCCCTATTCATACACCTATTCAAAAGATCAGTGAGTACTGGTGTACTGACTGAGTAGTAGTTTTGTATACAACATGATATTGTATAGTGTTGCCAAATGGTTAAATTTCTTACAATTTTCGTAACTTTTGATCTTCTCGCGTAATGTGTAACTAATTTTTGTTTTTAAGGCAGTTATCGTAACTTTTGACGAAATTCAACTATATTTGTTATTGTAAATCCGAAATAGGTTATGAATTCACCAAAATTAGACGAAAAAATAACTCAGAGATGGCGCAAACAAAATTAAATCAATCAATTACTAATTATAGCCTGATTTTTCTTGAGCGTACTCACTTTTTATTTTTAAGATTTAGCCTATATCTTTTACAGTTAGAATAACAAAAATTAAAAATGAAAATGAAATTTTGCACACAAAAATGTAACTTTGCAGGTAACGAAATATAATTTTCTACTCAATATTGTTGTTCATTACAAACCTCAATCAATTAACCAAAACAAAATGGCCGTTTTTACAATAGATTGATATTAGAAGCCTGTCGATATTAAGTACTAAAATCGACATTATTTCGCTTGAAAAAAATAGGTGACTTATTATAACAATAAAATAATAGATAGCAATATATTTTAGTTTTAATTAGAGCCATTTCTCTCTCATAGCTATTCGCTATTGAATACTTGCTTATGTAACAACAGCAGTTTAGACAGTGATGCGATAATGAGTTGTAGCATTGCGTAAGAACAGTGGATTACATTATCTGCTATTGTAATAATGACCACTGATAATAATGACTATATTAGATGATTTTATCGTGACCTACAAAACATCCGTATTCCCAATACGTATTGGTTGTTTCGGATGTCGAATGCGGAAGCAGATATTTAAAAATATGCGGATAATCTGCGGTTGCAGATGCAAATACAGATGTCTGCGGCGTCTCTAGCCTCTACATACTGCGGTGTCACCAGAGACGAACACACCTTCACAGTTAACCTGCAAATTTCTGAGGCTTTTATCTTTTATTTGACACAGCTATTTTAAATGTTATGTATTTTGTGTTGAAGGGCAAAGTCTTCTTATTTATTTATTTTATTTGATAACATTGTTTTCAACATTAGTTTTAATTCTAAAATCAAGGAATTTAATAGGTAAATTATGTAACAGTAAGAAGAAGTTGCAGTTTGATAATGTTTAATTTATTAAAAGCTAAAATTATTCTTATAATAATAATAATTGTTTATTTTCAGGCAAAAAACCCATTTTACATATACGATGTGACATATTACAACAATAATGATAATAAACTAGAATAAAATACAGAATAAAATACATAAAATACATATTATTATATAATTCGCACAGGCCTCGTCTAATCTGTTTCCTGCTTGCGTCGCGGTGGAGGGAACGCCAGTAGGTACTACTTAAAAACTGAACCAGACATATCTGTCCTAAATGGAAGCAATACGAGCCCTGGCAACAGCAAAGGAGTCAGGTAATCCCTCCTCGGCGAACATGTTCGATGCACTACAGTATAGCGTGGTAACTATCCGAATACGGAAAGCGTCATTGTATTGCCATGTCATTGTGTTGCCACTCTTAGAGCGGTTACACACGGCGACTAAAGGCTAACGAATATTAGTAATTAAAACAGAAAAATGTATATTTACGTTCATAAATATAATACAAAACTTTTTCAAAACTTTTCATATAACATGTTTTGTACTATTACCAGAGTCCGAGCGAGTCGCTCACCACCAGGCGCACGAATTGTTCTTTCCGTCACTTTTATAAACGCGCCTAGAACTAGTATTTTTAATCTACACATAAAACAGGTAATTAGACCTATACAAAAAGGCAATGGAAAACATAACAGCTCTACATTTCTTTTAAACAAAGCCCAACAAATAATTTTATTTACTATAGCAATCGGGAAAACCTAGGAACTAGATCGAGCGTTTGAAATTAGCTTAACAATAAGTAATTCTTCAAAATCTTTTGATTTTCACACGAGATATCGTTGGCCGGGCCACTTATTATCTTTACCATGACGTGCGCTTGTCGCATAAAGCCGTCTTAGGAAAGGAAGTGCCAGCATATTACTGTCGGTGTATAGGATACTTTTCGGCGGTGCATAGACGTTCTCTAGTATCCACTTGACTGCGCAGCTGAGGGCGGCTATGCCTACTGCCGTCATGTGCACGTCACAATGATTTTCAGTTCTGGTCTCGTTATGGTTCAAGAAGAGGAGAGGATTGTACAAGCATCCAGCCGTAGTTTGAAGACGTACAGTCTCTTCTAGCCAATCACGTCGAAGAAACTCCACATGACCCAGCATAGAACACAATGCAACTGAAATAATACGAAGTATTCAAGTTGTTTAACTCCGCAAGTGATAATTTTAGCAAAGAATATCATTTTATAGAGATAAATCATTCGAAGAGTAAACTAGGAGAAGTATGCAATTAGGTTAATATTACAAGTTATAATGGGTATTATTTGGAGTTTCACTAAAATATAAGGTCTAAAAACACATTTTACGATAACTATACGTACAAATTAAATCAACTGCCTCCGTGGCCGCACGGTTATCATGCCAGACTGCCACGCAGAGGTCCCAGGTCCAAATCCTGGGCCGAGGGAAATATTTGTATGGCCTACATTTATTTATCTCGTGAGTTTGGGTATAATTTATGGTTGTCTATGGGTGTGTCCATGGCACTCGTGACACATGGTTTCCCTAGTGCGGGGCTATGTTGAGTGTGTGCGTTACTATTATATTGCTATTATTAAATATATCTTTATTTCGTAAGTAAGTAAGTAACTACACAATAGATCACACCTGAATCGTCATATTGATTAAACACTACTTCTTATCGTATCGATGACACACATTATACTATTGTGGCCCTGAACTCAATCACGCTGACCGCTTCACTAGTAGCCGCCATTAAATCCTCTAGCGTGCAGGTATTAAGGTACGCAGGGTACGATATGAGGTGGCCAATCATTTGAGTCGCACCGCATAAACAGTCAGGTAAGAAACCATCCGAAAATCCCCACCTGAACAAATTGTTCTTGCTCCAACCTGAGTCTGAAACCTATTTAAAGACTTCCAGATCGAATGGCAATTCGTGTTCAGGAGGAAGACACTCTGAAGGCGCTACTAACGTAGATGGTACTCTTTTACGCCAAAGGTTGCACCGCGCCATTAAACACTACTACTACTATGAGTATTTATTCGTAACACAAAATGTCCTGTGAAAAATAAGTAAGAAACTCTAGGGATTGGTATTTGTAAATAAACATTTGTACACATCACCTTTGGTCACTATCATGGATGACATCCAAGTATGAAAAAGGTGTATAACTTTTCGTATACCTAAAGTTTTTGTATCACCGTACTTTTATACCGAGTATCAACCGATGAATGAAGCTTAGGATATCTTTATTTTAGACAGGTTTGTTCCCAAAACAATTTATACAATCAAATTCAAACGATTCATTGGTTTGCGGACCGTAAATGTGTCGAAAACTCTTGACCTTTCTATATCACCTTCCCTATCGAAGATATTGGAAAGATTAAAAAGCACCTGAGTTACCAGCTTCCTTGATAACAATAACCTGTTCTCATCTAGGCAGTACAGTTTTCGAACGGAAAAATTTGACGAAACTGTTATTCATGATTTTTACAACTCGATATTCAGTAATCTGGATACCAAAAATTTTTAATTTTTCTGGGCCTTACTAAGGCATTCGACACGGTTTTGGTTCCCATACTTGTTACTCTAAATTGGAATACCTTGGCATTCACGAGTATTACAAGTTCAATTATTCCGGGACTACTTGCTACTTGCTTGCTAGGTACGCAATATGTTGTATGTAAATATAGCAGCGATAACCTGCCAGTGTCTATGGAGTTACACAGGGCAGTATATTGGGCCCCATGTTGTACTTGATTTACATTAACGACCTGTGTCAGTTGAACATTCCAAATAGGCAAATATTCACATATGCGGCTTTGTATTTTAGAAGAGACAACTAAGTAAAGCGCAGTTGGGCTTCGAAAAAAAATGTAGCTGACTAAATAATATTGTTCTTACTATTAATGCAAATAATTACTTGTTCTATTTGACCCCAAGATCAACCTGGTTTCTTATGATTACAACCATATTGCTCATGCGTGCCTATCCTATAAAAATGTCAATATCCTGTCTTGCACAGTATGGCCAATTTAAGTACCTTGTTATTATCGAATACAGAATTTTTACTAAGAACAAGCGCATGAAATGCACACTCAATACTATGTGTATACTCGCGTCTCAAGTACATACTGCACATTCGACGGAGCAAACGCGTGGCTGACAGTACGTTCAAAACGAACATGTACTTTTTATTTCTATTATACAGCATACTCCTTCGAAATAGTCAGTGGTTTTATTTATCACCCTGTATCTTAATATGCACGACATGTTTAATGAATTGTCTAAACTTCATGACCATTAGTTAGTAATACAACGATCGAACACTTACAAAAAATTCCTTCGATTCAGCTGGATTCGAACCAACGTCTTCCAGCAAACCGTGCCTGACGCTATGCCAACTCAGCCACGGAAAGAACTAGCGGACAATTTTTCTATGTTCTTGTTGAAAATCTTTGTTTTTTGTTTTAACGACTTATTTGCTCTAGCGCCGTACGACTTATTTGACACGGTTGTAAGACGTTGTTGGTTCGAATCCAGCCGGATCGAAAGATTTTTTCTAATCTTTCGATCTTAAATAATTGAATATCGTGGAGATCAAACATCGTGACATTCAATAAAGAGAACTTAAAAAATTTCAATATCATTCTTATTAATTTTCCAACTATCATTAAAAAGTCTTAAAATGCATCGTATTTGTACAATATGTAACAAAACAGGTAAAACAATTATTTACGAGTGAGGCCTATGCCCAGCAGTGGGCGTCGTATGGCTGAATGATGATGATGATGTGGTTATAATTAATTACTCACCGTATTCCATCATTAGGTCAATAAAGTCGTAGCCGTTCATAGCAATGTATTGTCCTTCGTAGTAAGCCTCTTGGCACAGCTCCATATGCAAATCCTCATCCTGTAACTTCCCTAACAAATAGCAATCCATTCCCAGGCGAGCTATGGTTAGAAGTAAAATCCTGTGGCGGAAATAGAAAACAATTTCATTTTTCCAGTCACAAACGTATATACTACTAAGCTGGAGTCCCGTCACAGGCGTATAAACTAATAAACTGGGGTCCCATTGTAGAGATATTTTCATCATGAAATACAGTACGTCCTATCAGAGCAGAAAGCACTTAGTAGCACTAACTAGGTTCAGCTAACTATATAATGTTATCATTCTCAACTCAGGAAGAACCACAATAAAAAATCAAACAAAATAACGTACACACTCATAGCACCGCGCTAAGGTGTCGCTGGTGCCATGGACACACACATAAACAACCACAAATAGCTGTAATTAAATTAAATAAATGTAGAGCATACCAATATTTTCCGGGAATCGAACCCGGGACCTCTGCGTAACTGAGCAGCATGGTAGCCTTTCGGCCACAGAGGCAGTAATCACTAATAGTTCGCTAAAAATTACGTACTAGATTTTTTTTTTTTATTGCGACTCGGCAAAATGACTGCACCGCGCCTGATGGAAAGTGCGAATACAGTCCAGAGCTGAGAGTAACGGATGGAAAACACAAATATCTTCACTCCGTCACTATCATTTTGCCGGTCTGGCCAAATGCTTCTTCACACTACGTTTGAAGGACCCGATGTTATAGAGGGGAGGGAATACATACGCCGGGAGTTGGTTCCACAATTTCATGGTTCGGCATAAAAACGAATTGCCAAACTTTTTAGTGCGGGACGGTATTGAACTGACCGTCCAACTGTGGCAACGCAGTCCGGCACGGGTGGTCCGCTGATGGAAAGGAGAGGAAGGGATAAGGTTGAATAACTCTTCAGAGCACTCACCGTGGTACAGGCGATAGAATACCCTAAGAGACGCTATATCTCTGCGAAGCTGTAACGACTCCGCATGCTCAGTTACATGAGGATCGTTGACAACACGGAAGGCGTAGCGCTGCAGTCCATCTAGGACATCGAGCAAGTACTTGGCAGAGCCGTCCCAAAGGTGCGAACAGTACTCCATGCTGCTTCAGACCTGAGCTTTATACAACAGGTATCGCAGCTCTGGAGTAAAAAATCGGTGCACCTTGTTCAGGATGCCAAGCTTACGCGACGCGGCACAGATGACGCTCTCGATATAATCTTTGTTGCTCATGTCCTTCCGGATGCTCATTCCCAGTAGGCTGAGCTTGTCCTGCAGCGTCAGCATTGTACCCTGAAGATAGGGAAGTGGAAGGAATGGAGATTTTTTGGAGCTGAACGAGCATATCTGGGTTTTCTTGGCGTTGAACTCAACCAAGTTTCGGGAGCCCCACGACGATATATATATACGACGATATAGATAGACCATCGGAACCACAACGAATTGTTACTTCTTACCCTGACAGGTCCAGAAGTCAATCATTGTTTTAAAGAAACATTTGAGAGTTGTTTACGTCATCCGATAATTATGTACGAAATTAACCTAATCCTGTAACGGTTATGTAATGAAGAAAAGTTTCGGAAAGAGTAAATTTCTAGTAAAATTAAAAAATGTTCCACATTAAAAAAACCGAATGACCGCCACACAAACAAATATTTTTATATCGAAAATAATTGATATGCAAAATATCTAATTACAAAACAAACGGAATCACATTTCATCGGTAATTAAATGTTAAATATGTAACTGTGCAATTTTCGTCCATTACAGCAAAGTTCAAGTTAAACTGGTCGATTTGAAGTGAAACAATAGACGACCCGTCAATTGTTTCGAACACACAGTCACAGTAATGATTTGGCAGAATAGTTTTCAAACAAATTAAATGACATTACGTCTCTATTTCTGGCTTAGAGGATGGAAAAGATTTCTGGTTATATACTCGAAGCAAATTTCGAACTCAGCCATGTTTACCTATATAAAAAATTTTGTTCTTTGTCAGCGTAAGATGATACGAGACGCAGACAAATATTACAGTATGGCAGTTTCATTAATGTATGTTACGACTATGACATAAGGACCTTTACTAAAACGGAACTCTAATTTATAACACGCATAAAATAGTCTCTATGAAAGGGGTCTAGAAGATTTCAGATGGAGGTTGGGATGGCTCTTACTTTATTAAGTTATCAATTTTGCGTTCACCTATGGGAGAGGGCATATCCAAAATCGGTTCCAGTTTTCAAGACATTCTCGCAGGGCATAGGTAAATCACAAACTTTTAGTCTCTTCTTTTCTTTTTTGCTTTCGTACAAGGATAACGCCACTAAACATTCATCTGTAACGAAGAATTTAGTCAAATACAATACAAATTAGCAGCAGTAGAGCTTCTTGAGAAAAAGTTCGTCTAGGGAATTACTACCACCTTACCTTATTTCTGCCGCCAAGCAGTAAAGTTAGCATTACTGCGTTCCGGTTTGGAAGGGTTAAGAATGCTGGTAAAATTACAGGAACATGAGACTTGTCAACTTATGTCTCAGGGTGACGGGTGCAGTGGCAGTGCCCCTCAGATCTTTGCGATTTAAAGCACTGAGTGGCACTGCGACTGTTATGGACAGGCGTGTAGCTTACCATCAGGTGCACGACTTGTTCGTCCCGTCACTTGATATTATGAAATAAAATTCAGATTTCTGTGAATATCGTACTTTTTTTAAGTTATTTTGAATACTATCCTAATGCATTGTTAAAAAAATATGTATTTTAATCGGTCCAGGTAAATGCTTATTCGTTCAAATTGTTAAGAATGGATTTTTTAATTTCAATAAACATGTGGTTTCAATAGCAATTGTTGAAGAAAAAAACGTACATACAATAGTAAATGGGAATGAACACATTTTGTTCTTTATAGAATAGAAAAAGAATTTTATTCTTAATCCTATTCTATGTTCCTTTGATCAAAACAAACAAGAAAATATCATACAATTCCATTCTTATGAACATCTCTTGCAATCCGAAGTATTTCTTACAAAGACGAAAACTTAGATGGAAACGATGACAAAGACGATGTTCAATGGCTATGTTATTGGGGATAATTTGGAATTTTTTATTACAATTTAATATTTAATTCTTAAAGTATTAATTCTAATTACAAAGGTAAAGTTGCAATGGTGAGTACTGTTCATTTCTTAATCATCATCATATGCCACTGCCGGAAGCCGGAAGTAGTCCACTGCTGGACATAGGCCTCCCCAAAGGTTGCCAGACTACCCGGTCGGACGCAACGTGCATCCATCGGTTACCCGCCGCCCTTACCAGGTCATACGTCCATCTAGTAGGGGGCCGTCCCACTGAACGCCTTCCGGTTCATGGTTTCCATTCGAGAACCTTTCTGCCCCAACGGCCGTCAGTTCCGTACGAGCTATGGGCACTGCCCACTGCCGCTTCAACTTGCTAATCCCTTGGGCTATATCGGTGACTTTCGGTTTTCTACCACCACCGTAGTCGGATTCGACTATTGACCTCTTCCTCAAAGTTTGCTCTGCCTAATTTGACGGTTTATCCGAGGTATACATACTCGTCAACAACTTTCGAGTTCTTACACCATATTAAACACGTAGGTTAAATTAATGTTTCATATTTAATGCAATGGTAAAATATTTCATCCTTTTTTCCCCGTCATGATTTGTGATAAATATACCATTCATTTAAACTCACCCGACATTTCAGGTGATGGATCCCATTTTTCCATATCCTTCACGGAAGACGAGTAGAAGTCGTAGTTACGGTACATCTCCTCAAACTGCTGAGGGTTGATTTCTACCACAGGTATAGGACTGTATTGGACATTAACACTTGACAACTGGTTACTCCACTCACCTATGTTCGTAAATAGACGACTTACTGTAATGAAAATGTTATTAAACAACTGTATAATTATTAGCACGTACCTGTTGTATAAAGAATCAAAAATGACAGCAATAGTTTGAGAAACAACAAGCCATGAACATCATCATCGTTTATTTCTATTAAGGACTGCGACTTGTTGAAAAACGCGTTGACTAGCATAATGTAAGTACAGTCAAGAGCACGTCAAGCTTGACACTTTGTACTTTGCACCGTTCTTATGATTTAAATCATAAGTGTCAAGCTTGACGTGCTCTTGACCTTGTACTACCAAGCATATATTATCGAAAGGATATACAATAAAAACAACTGCAGATGACAACTTCGACAACATGTTGAAGATGAAATTGACATTGCCAACGTGTAGTTTAGTACCTTTTCTTGAAGGACACCTACGACCAACACAACTGAATAACCGTTTACTTTTTTGAATAAGATATAGGCAAGCATGTAACCACGATCCCAAAAGTGTGTATTTATTCTTGACTTCCAAGAGGTCCGTGTCGACACAGTATCAGTGGCAGGATTTTTTACGTTTGGTATTCTGCTAAAAGTTAAAAATAATGGCTTGTCAGAGACTAGCCATCATGTTACTGATCATCTGCCATTGCAATTTTTTGGTACTCTGCTTTTCAATGGCGAGTCGATGACACGGTAATAACGTTAATGGCGTAGTCGATAAGATTCCCGAGCATATATTAAGATTATCATTTCCTATGTTTAAAAACTGCATTAAAAATATTTCGATTGAAGTCATATTACAAAATTGAAGACTACGTGTTAGACAAAAATGTATGGAAAGACGACATGGCTCTAGATTTCATACAAATTTGATTCGAAGTGTATTCCATAGCATAAATGCATAAATGCTATGGAATACACTTTTCAAAGGTTTATTTCAAAAAATGCAATCCCTAGAGTTTCTTGCTCGTTCTTCTCAGGGAAGTCTAGTGAACGAGCACTAGCTTAAATATGACGTTTTCAAGTGAGAGTGTTTTCAAATTTATTGTACCTGTGGAATAAATAATTCTTTGACTTTGAGTCTACTTATTATTTGATAAATAAATAGTAAATTGCTGCTTGAACTAGATAAAATTAAGATATGCATAGTAATTTCCATGGTGGGTTTAGTAAGGCCACGTCGATCGTTAGGGATTGAATGAGTAAATGCCATTGCTGCCTTTCTACTGAGAGACTCTATTTAGACTCAACTGCAACTAGATAGTAGAAGAATAACAAATATTGTCATATTCCCAATATAATCTCAGTGGAGTCTCGATGGAATTATAATAGCCAGTGGTTTGAAGGTAGATAGAAGAAGGAAGTCTCAGTAGGAAGAAAATTCGAGCTGTTTGTTCGCTTTGGAAAACAAGACACTAAACGCTTCTTAATATTGATGGCACGTCAGCAACACAAGGGTAAAATATTAAACCACGCTGTAAAAACAGTACAGCTATCAAGCAGAAGATAATATATCAATAATTAATGCTACTAATAAGTATGGAACGCCAAATAATTTGGACATCTGATTGTAAGTTTATTATAAAAAAACCGACTTCAAACGTTCACTGAAATTTGTTAATCAAAAATATTTGCCAAGTTTTATTAAAATCGGTTATCGGGTTCATCCCCTAGTTTGCCACCCTTAGAAGTGGAATATTTTTTTCAAATTTAAATGGCACCAACACTGAGGTGCCTTCTTTCCAACAAAAAATGGGACCAATACTGAGGTCTCCTCTTTCCTACAAAAAAGACTCATCAAAATCGGTTCACAAATGCCGGAATAATCACGTAACATACATACAAAATAAAACTCTTCCTTTTTCAAGTTGGCTAAAAACATTACACAATGGACAGTCACTTCTATTATATGATTTAAGTAACTTTGCTAGAATACGTATTGTTCATTGTTTATAATAACTTACTCAGCTTTGCCTTTTGGGAACTCAAATGGTAGGTAGTAGAACCATAACTGAGCAATGTATCTAATCGTCGCGATATTTGATATATCTTTATACTTATTTCTTGAGGTGCACGAAATAAATTATCTTTTTTTCTTATTATGGTTTTCAGGTTAGCTGTAAAAGAAAATACATTAAATATTTAGTAGCAGTAGAGCTCCTTGTGAAAGAGTCCGTCCAGGGAAGTACTGTCTTGTGTCAAGATCTCAAGCATAATGTGTTCTTAATAGTCCTGCTACGTTTTAAAAATATTCTGAATTTGGTAACACCGTTTCCGTTTATGTAGGTAGCCCACTGAACATAAGTACATGCCTAAATTGTAATGTTAGCTGTCAATGTATGCTTACCGTTGGAAATAAAAAAGCCGAAAAAATCTAGGTCATTTAAAACATATTTGTGACGTTCAGTATATTGCACGATATTGTCAATCGCATTCAAGAAATATGTTAAATCTTCAGGCGTTAGCTTTATGTCGCGCGTAGATTTATAACTGGCATTTACAAATTTTCCAGAAACCATAAACAAAAACAAAATCTCTTTTAAACTCGGAATTATCATGATCTATTTGCTACTCGTTGTAGTGATAATCAATGAAAAACTTGTTTGATTGTCGCGGCGATGTTTCAGCGACTGACTACGATTTGATACTGCCGTGTTTACTCTTCGCATTCCTATTTATAGGACTCCTTAAGTTTCCTTCTTTTGACATCGGATCGACGTAAATACTTATTTGAGGCACATGCGAATTAACTATGATAAGTTAGTGCTAATTTAATACACGCGACTTGTAAACTAAAAGTTTCGATCTTTGCTTCGGAATCAAAAAAATCAAAATCAAAATTATCTTTATTTCGTAGGTAAGCAAATTACACTTGAAATCGTCACAGAGTAATATCCTCTCTTTGGTAGAGTTGCGTCTAAATGATTTTTGAACTTATTGATAAGTCCAAAAAAGCTTTTGGAATCTTATTATAATACTGAATACCTTGCTGTTCAAAAGAACCCAGAACCCTCTGAACTCTTAACTTCGGTAAAACGAGCTTCCATTTATGGCTAGCATTAAAATTATGTACGTCGCTCCGTTTATTGTACAAATCATTATTCTGACGCACAAAAAGTATACAATTGTAAATAAACTTTGATGCAGTCGTCAATATGCCAAGTCTAAATTGAACCTTATTACATTACACAAAAAATTGTCTAAAAGAAATAATTTAGGGAATTTCTACATGTAGGTTCATGTAGACCTTAGGTTGCCAAACTTTTGGCTTACCGCCCACTTAAGCAAGATAACAAAAATTCAACGCCCACCATCACAAAAATTTATTGAAAACTTATTTTTATATTAAGTACAAAAAAAATCACAAAGAAAAAGTATATATTTGTAGTAACTCAGGTTTTTTTTCAAATGCGGTAGCACCCTCTGGACAGCGTCAACGCGCCCCAGTTGGCTCCAAGACCCCTACCCCCTAGGACTCTTCAAGAGGCGGTAGACTCCAAGTTGGGAAACTATGATGTAGAGCTATCACTTTTTAAAGTGCAAAATGAACGTAATTAAATGATATAATTTTCCTCGTCGTTCTTTACGTCTTTCTCGTAACTGCTGAGAATACTAAATCTTACTCCACTTTCCATACGAAACATTAAAATACACCACTAAAAATATTTCACTAATCGACATCTGCATAACTATAACTGTATTCAAATTGTATATATTTTTATAATCCGTCTCGCGTCCTAGAGACAAACCTAACCATTTTGGTTTTTTATTTTTATGTTTTTTTTAAAATTTTATACTATAGACTTTTCAAAATGGTGGACGAAAATAATACAGCTGCGCGTTATAGACACCGTACCATATGGCTCTAGGGTCTTACAGTTTCAAAATCCTTAAGGACACCACGTGTCTTTAAAATACTGGACGGATAGGTTTTTTATGATACCAAAGTGACGCACAAATAAGCGACACGCCTATCCATGACAGATGCTGTGCCGCTAAAAGCTTTAAATCGCAAAGATGTGAAGGGCACTGCCACTACCCCCTTACCCTGAAACTTAAGTTGATAAATCTCGTGTGTCTGTAATTTCACCAGCACCCTTTCCCTTCCTACCTGTATTCCGCTCTTGCATATGTAGGTACCTTTCTCAAATCTTTTAGTAGCAATAGAGCTCCTTGTGAAAGAGTTCGTCGAGTGACGTACTGTCGTACCTTACCTATTTCTGCCGCCAAGCAGTAATGTCAGCATTACTGTGTTCCTGTTTTGAAGAATAAGGGTGCTGGTGAAATTACAGGCACATAATTTGTCAACTTATGTCTCAGAATGACAGGCGCAGTAGCAGTCCCCTCAAATTTTTGGTGTTTAAAGTTCTGAGTGGCAATGCAACTATTATGGACAGGACAGTAGCTTACCATAAGGCGCACGATTTGTCCGTCCTGTCACTTAGATATTACAAAAAAAAATATTCTTACCACACTTTTCCTTTATGCGCTGCTGTTTGAAATCATCGCAACAGTCTTAAACGCTTTGAATACTTCAACACAAAAAGGTGATAATAATACAGTAAAAATAGAAGCTAAAATGAAGATAAGTATCTTCACAGTGAATCCCAGTTTATTAAAAAAGATTGTCTCGATTTGTACGGCTCTACATAATATATTACGAGGATCAGCCGGGGCTTCGCCTTACAGCCTTAGCCAGTGGCCAAAGAAAAATAAAACCTATTATTGGACAATTTAATAAATGAACCTCATATGAATTGAATTTAATAAAATCTAGGCACTTATCAAACAAATCAATTAGAGTAAGTAGACTTTTATCTAGGTATTTTGTAAATGGGAATGTATCAAAAAATAATGTAAAAAAAAACTTATTAAATATTTATTTGTTGTGTACGAGATTTGTTCGAATTTAATGATATTATTACAAAATGTTTATTGCTTTATCAACATTTGGCTTTCTATTGAATCGGTTCGCTTAAAAGTCATCATAATTTATCATCATCATCATTTCAGCCAAAAGACGTCCACAGCTGAACATAGGCCCTTCCCAAAGAATGCCACATCGGATTCAGGTTCCAGTCAATCTTGTCGGTGGTCTACCCACGCCGTGCCTTCTGGAACGCGGTCGCCACTCGAGAACTCTTCGGCCCCATCGGCCATCTGTTCTGCGAGCAATGTGCCCTACCCATTGCCACTTACTTGTATTGATAACATCTTCATTTCTACTTCTATTGATAACATCTTTTGTAACACAGACGCTGTGTCTAAATCAATAATAAATTACTTAAGATCAGACCATAGTGGCCAATTGGCTTCTTTTAACTGTAAAATGAGCAAGAAGGTAGACCAATTTCTCTGCAGACCGATTACCACAGAACGAATAATTAGATTTCAAAATAATATCGGCAATAGTTTAAATTCCTACCCCATATACCGAAGGTTCCAAATACTTTTTATAGCACGATATTTGGTTTAATTAAAAAAGTCTTTGATAATGTTTATAAATCGAAAACATTAACTTTCCATACAGAGACTAAATTCAACTACTGGGCAACAGTAGGTATTCATAAGAGTAGGTCTCGTTTGTATGAGCTATAAGCTAGGAAGACCTATAATACTAATTCCAATTTCATAGAATATGTTAGAAATTATTCGAAAATATTTAAAAAATTATATGTAGCTGCTAAGGTTAAGTTTCACAGCGACAAAATTAGACAATCGATAAATAAATCTAAAACTATTTGGAGCATAATAAATAAAGAGTCAGGCAGGGTTAAACAACAAGATAGAGATATAGTTTTAGAATTAGACAGCAAACTTATAAAATCTAAAGATAAAGTAGCACAAGCTTTTGAATCGTTCTTTTCGGAAATTGCTGTAAACACTACAGAAACATTAAATTCCTCCCCTTCTCTTGCTATTGATCTCCTAAAGGAAAATGTTAACGTTTGTGGCAGTTTATTTAATTTCCGTCATGTTAATCCACAAGACATCATAAAAGCTTTTAAATCAATATATGTTAAAAAAACTGAAGATGTCTAGGGCATATCAACTAAAGTTGATCTAATTTCCCCACATTTAGCTGTAGCTTTTAATAGGTGCGTTGACGAAGGTGTTTTTCCCGATTTAATGAAATACAGCAAGGTTATTCCCTTATTCAAAAGCGGTAGGAAAGTTGATCCTAGCAACTATAGGCCCATTCCAATTTTACCAGCTTTAAGTAAAATATTCGAAAAGGAATCATATTTTTCATAGTGAACAATACGGGTTTACTAGTGGTAGATCGACTAGCGATGCGGGGTTAGCGTTACTAAAACACATCTTTGATGCTTGGGAAAGGTCCCAGAACGCTATTGGTGTTTTCTGTGACCTCTCAACGGCATTTGATTGCGTTGATCATATTACTCTTATTAGGAAGCTGGAACATTACGGTGTAAATGGCAAGGCGTCGAAACTTGTCTCGTCATATCTCAACGGTAGAATTCAGAAAGTAGACATAAGTGGTGTGACTTCTTTGGGCTCTCCGGTAAAAATGGGTGTTCCGCATGGTTCAATTTCAAAACTTGGACCTTTTTTATTTCTGATTTATATTAATGATTTGCCATTCTTTGTTAAGGACCATTGCGAAATAGTGTTGTTTGCTGATGACACATCCTTGATTTTTAAAACAGGCAGACATGACATTAACTATGACCATATTAATGATACCCTATCTAAGGTAGTTTATTGGTTTAATGCTAACAATTTGTTGCTTAATGCTAAGAAAACAAAATATGTTAAATTTGAATTACCTAACATAAAATCGACTAGTCCAAGCATAGAAATAAACGAAGAAAAGTTAGACCTTGTTAATAAAACAATCTTCTTGGGAGTGACCTTAGGTAGTAAACTTCAATGGTTTCCACATATCATCCCTGACCAGCAGATTAAGCTCCGCTGCATACGCAGTCCGCAGAATACGTGAGCTTACTAATGTTAGTACTGCTAAACTAGTTTACTTTAGTTACTTCCATAGTATAATGTCCTACGGGATTCTCATGTGGGGTAAAGCGGCAGATATTCAAACCATATTTGTATTGCAAAAATGAGCGATTCGTTCTGTGTACCGTCTAGGCTCTCGGATTTCTCTCATAGAAAAGTTTAAGGAGACTGGTATCATGACTGTGGCATCACAGTACATTTGCTCAAATATTTTATATGCCCGTAAAAATATACATAATTTCAATAATAAAGAAAATGTCCATAATATTAACCTTAGAGCTAAGTCCAAACTCATGGTACCACGACTTCGTTTAACCAAGGTAAACAACTCTTTTATGGGGGATTTTATACGTTTTTACAATAAGATTCCGGAGCATACATGAAGTTTATCGTTTCCTAAGTTTAAAAACTACATTAAAAATATTTTGATCGAAAAATCATATTACAAAATTGAAGATTACTGTTAGATAAAGATGTATGGAAAGACGACACGACTCCAGACTCCACACAAATTTAATTCAAAGTGTATTCCATAGCATGTAAGTTTATTTGAAAAGAGCAATCTAAAAAACTCCTTTGGGTATCGTGTGCATTATAATCGATTTTCGTAAAAATCGGATCGTAATGGCATACATCTTTACAGTGAAAATCCACAGGATTGCAAGGTGAGTATCACAGACATGTATCTAGGTGAGTATTATGTGGGATTGCCTCTTTTTCGTCTACAAAGGATTTTTTACATCGAATTACATCGAAATTTGTTATAACTACTTATAAGCATAGAATTATTCCGTATTCCATATTCGCCGTTTCTGCCCACGATTTTGAACGGAAATAGATTAAAATCCGCCGCTTTGGGTAAAACCCTGGTTAAAGCCCGGGCAGGTTGTTTAGGTTTTAACCCACTGCCCATCTCTGGTCATGCACCCTATATTTATTACACACTTATCCGATGACACTGAGCATTTTCCTTAAGGTACACATTGTCTGATCAGCTGAATGTATTTTAATAAGTCGTTAGAACACTTACGTGTCCCACCTTCATACCTGTCTCAGTAGGGTGTGTAGGTAACACTTGTTCCAAGTCACATGGTTTAGACATTGGTCAGGGTTTGAATCGTTACGAAAGAATTTTGGCTGGTCTATTTTAAAACAAACTTCAGAAACCTCAATTTCGCAAATATTTCATCATTTCTCTTAAGGTTTATAATTTTAATTACAAGCATTGTAAACTATAATGGGACTATATTATGTAGCCTTAATAGTTACTTATATGTAGGCATAAATTAAAATAATTTAAATTTGTTGCGTTATCATTTGTAGGTATATGTTTTAATATTTTATTATCTCATTTTGTTACTATTGTGTGGTGTGGATGTTCTTTAAGAGGCACATAAACATAGCTTAAATGTTTTACTATTTAATGTGTAGTGTTTTCTGTGTGGAATATTTTTTTAATTATTCCCAAGGGCATGCGTAGTTTCAAAATACACACATAAAAAATTGTCTGGGGATCATGGTATTTTTGTAAATATTTCATTGTCCTATTAAAGTTAAATAAAACTATCTATAATTATATTTATTAAATAATTTATTTATTTTTAAATTATGAAATGGGCCAAAAAAACCATTATTATTAAAAAAAATATTTAAAAAAATCGTATTTTGAATTCTCCGTGTGAATACTATAATTGTAAGTCAATGGTGAATACGCAACAATTTGCTTATAAACTGAATGCAATTTTATTGTAAATTATATTAATTAATTGGCAACTCCGTTCGACTGTCAACCATTTTGAAGTATCATTCCCGTTGTTGTATTTTCACACTTTTGTGTTAGTTTAATTCTTTAGAAACAATGGGCTTTGCAACTGTGATTGAAAATGAAGCACATTTCCAATCCGAAATGGCGAACGCAGGCACAAAGCTTGTCGTTGTCGATTTCACAGCAACTTGGTGAGTATAACCTGACCGCTTCAGAAGTCCTTAGTCATCGTTTAAGTTTTTGGAGTGCATTAATGATGCATCTTGATTGACGAAGGTGTCCGCCGTGCCAGCGGATCGCGCCGTTCTTCGAACAGCTTCCTGCTAAATTCCCGCGGGCGGTTTTTCTGAAAGTGGACGTAGACAGATGCGCGGACACGGCCAGCGCTCAGGGCATTAGTGCAATGCCTACATTCATATTTTATAAAAACAGGGTAATGGTCTAACAATAAAAATTGTCTAACCAACTGTCTGCGATATTTACTAAATGTGTAAAACTTCTGTCATAGACAAGGATTGATCGACTGCAGGGTGCCGACCCAGCTTCTCTAGAAAGTAAAGTGAGACAGTATTACGGTACTGAAGACGCTGGCGAAGAAGATAATGCTGTTGCTGGTCATGTTAGTAAATTTATAAAGTTTAATTCAAATTATGTTGACGTAATTCGTAAAAGGGAGTGCAAGGAGGCCATGGCCCCAGGAGGCACAGCAATGGGCGCGGCGGCAAACGTGGCCGAGTCCTAACTAGTCGGTAATTTTTATTTACTTAAATTTAGAAAATAAATGCCACTACCTATTTGAGAAAATAAACACAAAGATGGCGATGGCAGGTGAACACAATTGAGCCGAGGCTGCCTGAACAAACTGGTATTGTAATCATGAAAATTGACTTCAGGCAGCAGAAATAGATGCTGATTTTATCGAAGGTAATATAACCATTTTAGGATTATGCATTTCAGATGGACTTGGCAACTTTTATAACAAAGAGTGAATGTGAGAGCTTGAATGAGGCTGATGACCACCCGTTGGCACATGCTTTGACCAGTGGTGGCGGGTATCTTGCCAGTGACTGTGACGAGCAGCTCATCATCAATATCACTTTTAATCAGGTAAACCAAACTTATGTACCATACCCATGCTAAATGAAACTGACTATTTTTAATTATTATGAAAAATGTCCTACATCTGCTTACTTCACTGTGGTGTGGAGCCATCCACACCACAGTTAACTGAATAGTATAGCATCAGTATAGAACTGAGTAATATGTCCCATTATGAGGAAATACTGGCCATTGCCTAGTTTTGATAAATTTAATGAAAGAAAGGACAACAGCTATATCTAGTTTTGCTATAACTACATATTGAATGTAGTTCTGTATGGCTCAATCTACATTGCCACAGATTGGAATGAAGACAATTTTTTAATTTATGTAATAAAGCATAATAAACTTTATGTAATGTACAAACTAGTTACAAGCCAAAGGACAGGTTGCGTCTTCCAGAAAATCCTCAGACTCGAGAATTCCCACAGCTATTGTATCTAGTTTGTATGTTACAAAATTGAAACAGAATTCACTATGCTATGGTTACAAAAAGGAAAAGGGTCAAATATGACCCAGCCGTGACACAAAAGAACCCTGCCTCAGAATTTTGCTTATATTAAGTAAGTAAACTCTGTATCATTTTTGTTTTATATATCTGTGGCTAATTTGTCAATATTGCCTTTTGTTCTTGCTCAGGTGCATAGAGTTAGGTAATGTATGTTCATGTATAAACAAAAGCCTTCAAAAACTAATTTATGGAAGTATAATTTGACCAATAAAGGTAGGAATAATATAGTAAAATGATGAAAGTGAATATAAGTAAAATTCTGCGATTGGTTTCTTTTTCGTCGACACTGGGTTAATTTTCTTTCTATGGGCTGTGACCTTTCGTTACTTACATTCTGTTCCACAGCACAGTAAATTGTTGCTTTAGAATAGACGTCACAGTTTCATATTGTCTACAAAGTGCCTGCCTGACATGCCATTCAAAAAATGACAAGTATATGGAACAAATCTGTATTTGAACTCATGATATTAGTTGTCTTTTTTTAAATTAAAACTCTTTCCTTTTCAAGTTGGTAAAGCTTCACTCATTAAAAATCAAAGCGCCAACAGACAAAGGCCCCAAGACTGTGAAACTGTTCATCAACCAACCTAGAACCCTGGACTTTGACCAAGCATCTGGCAACTCTTCTGTTCAGGAACTGGAGTAAGTAAAACATCACAAATTAGCATATCTTACATCTTAATACAACCTCATAACATTTGTATAACTCTGGTTTACAGGCTATCTCCAAATGATTTGGAAGGCACCCCTGTCCCACTCAAATTCGTAAAGTTTCAGAATGTTCAGAACATTCAATTGTTTATTAAAGACAATCAATCTGGAGGTGAAGTGACACAGATTGACCATTTGGCCTTCTACGGGTCTCCAATCTCCACCACCAATATGGGAGAGTTCAAACGCATTGCTGGCAAAAAGGGCGAAAGTCATTAGCTCAAGAAGGTACTGGATTCTGTGGGTAGTTTTGATTTTCCACTGTGTTGAGTGCCACAATAAATATGCACTTTAATCTCAAGCAGAAATAAATTAATGTCTCCTAGTTGAATGTACTCATAATCACAATTTTATATGTACTCGTAATCTTCATAGTGTGTTCAACCATGTCTTCTATGTGTATGTAACACTTATAAGCAACTGTGAATAGAATTACATAAAGCAAAACTATCTGCATGTATCCTAAGATAGGCAGTTTATTGTAAAATATAATTTCTCAAACTGTGTCAAATATGTATTTCTGATTAATATTTATTTTCTTTTGCTAATTTATAAAATTTACTATCAACATAGTATTTCTTGTTTTAAGTGTAAACATCATTCCAAGGTCAATATGTCAAATGCCACTTTCTGGAGTTTGTATAATTATTCAATAAATATTGAAATGAAATTACAAATACAATATAATCTAACTTAGTTTTATTTAATACTTATATGAAATTAGCAAGTTTCAATCCTGCTTTAATTCATATATTTGTATGTAGGCTTCTGTTAAGGTGATCATTTGTGGAAGTATGCTAGTTACATGAAGATCTTGCATTTCATACCTGCAATTAAAGTAAAGGCATTTGTAATATTATACAAAAAAAGTTTACCACACAAAATTCTATTAATAAAAAAAAATTAAATATTTTTAAAAATACAAATAAAATACGTCACTTTTTTACGATTTGTCATAATTCTCGATTCGTTTACATAATTAATCAAATATCAAAAGTGTTTCACTATCTATTACGTTACGTTACACTATAAGTTTCTGAAATGAATAAGAAAAAAATAGTATAAATGGTCAGAAATTAATTTATTGTTTCTCAAAATATTCTCTGTTAGCGTTAATGCACTTTTTCATACGAGTGAACCAATTTTGAAACATTTATGCCACTCCGTGACAATCTCTGAAACATACTTTTCATACTCTCCGACAGCCTCTTCAGGTGATGAAAATCGTTGACCCGCGTAAATGGTTCTTAATTTTTGGAAATAAATAAAAGTCACAAGGTGCCAAAGGTTGGTCGGGACCGTACGCGGGATGGCTCATAAGGTCAACGTTGTTCACCTTCAAAGATTCTTTTGTCTGTCTGGCCATGTCGTTATCATCTGGCATTATCGTGGTGCAAGATGATACGGCGTTTACGGTTATTTTTACGGAGTTTGTCAATAACTTGCGCCAAACAAATGGTCGTGTACCAATCACTATTCACGGTACAACTTTTTGTACCGTGATACTGATTCTCCAAAGCAACAGTAGCCACGTGTCCAGTTTTATTTTAAAAAAAAGCATTCATCCGCTTAGAGGCACGCGCGCCACTTTGGTTGGTTTCGGCTCATCTCGAAAGACCCATACACTTGATTGCTGCTTTGTTTTGGGTTCGTAACTATAAATCCATGTTTCGTCACCTTTTACTATGTACCAAACCAAATTTGACGCACTAGGCATGGCATTGCACCAAGTGACGCGATCCGTTTTTTGAGCCTTAGTCAAATTGTGTGAGATCCACCGAGAGCACAGCTTTTTCACATCCAAATGTTTGTGTATTATTGATTCTATTTGACTAATGCCTATGCCTAAAGATGCCCGAATCTCATGGTATGTCACATGCCTATCTGTTTTGATCATACGGCGCACAGCATCGATGGGCGATCATCACGAAATTCGTCATTAAGATTCATACGAGCGCGTTTGAATTCTGCAAACCAGTTATAAATAGTCGTCTTGCAAGGTGCTTCATCGCCAAAAGCAGTTTGAAGCCTAGCGAAGCTCCGCTGAGCTGTTAAATTACACTTAAAATCGTAGAAAATACTACGAAAATTTTCACAAGTTAAATCCATGGTGATGTAGACAACCAATTTCTAAAATGACGCCACAATGTAAAAACAAGTGACAGTCAGATGAAACAAACTGTATTCTACAGCAGATGAGTTCCATTTTCAAATATTTAATTACTTTGTAAATATTGTTTATGTAAGTGGCCAGTTCCGGAAACTTATAGTGTGCCCTATGTATAAGCTGTATTTCATTTTTAAGTGGCTTTGTGACTTAAGTTCATGCGACAAAAATGTCACATGCAATAAACAGCTGTTTGAAAGTACACGAGCTTGTGAGTAGCAAGAAGTGTCACTAGGCACTTCTTGCGGCGGCTGGCTGCTTCGTCCTCCCTCTAAATACAAGCGTAACAGACAGTGAGTAAAACAAAATTTTAAAATTGTGGCATGTGGCATCGCGAGCTAATCGACGACGGTGTCACGACTTTTTAAAACGTTCGATAAACCGGTTCCGAATTATCAAAATAAAATGGTTACAGGTCCTCCATGTAAGTATAGTAATTTTTTTTTAAAAGTAGAAAATGTAGTTGCACAAAACTTACCATTGTTGTGTAGGTTTGTGTAACACATGGCACCGATACGTGCCTTTTTCCGGCGTACCGTCGTGCACGATGTTGCCTACCAGCTCGTATATCGTGTTGCCTTTGTGCTGGGCCTTCACTTCGGGCGTTAGAATGTCGCCAAAATCGACGTTTCTGTACCAACACAAGCAAATATAATTGCTTGCTTCATAAAATGCTTACATTTTTTTTCATAAGTTTTTTACATGCCATTAAATTTTCCCCTGGTTAACTAATTACTAAATCCAACAAACAGGAAGCTTAAACATTCCGTTTATTTTTATTGGTATACATTTACTTACTTGACTGGAAAATTGACAACAGTCGGATTTTTCTCGACAAAGAACGTGTTTTTGGTGAACCGTTTGATATACAATATCAAATAGGGCGGCAACTGCGTTATCTCAAATCTTTTTAAAAAGTTCTCTTTGTATGTTTTGTACTCCTTTGACGATTGTCCGTTGAATTTCGAGAGCAACTGGTACAAGTTAACCTGAAATCACAACTGTAATTGAAACTTCAAATAGTAAACTAAACTTTGTGATTTATCTTCAACTCTATGTTGTTGTTCAACCTTTTCCAACTGTATAAATATTGTCTTATTGATTTTTTTGAATATCATGATATTCATTTATTTTTGTGAAGTTACTCCACATTTGTTATAATTATTTATTAATACAAAGATCAAACACAAAGAAAAATTCCTTCAATCTGAAAGGACTTTAACCTGATTCTGTAAGCCTGGTCTGTTTGGTATTTAAAAAATATTCAGTTATGAAAGATACGACACTTACGACCACCGACATATATCTAGATAGACGCCGCAAGCGTACGTACTTCGCGTGCCCAAAGTAAGTGAAATTCACTTACTTGCCGCTGCTACACTTTAGAACGCGCTCGACCGTTATCGTAGATAAACACCAGTCGAAAACGCGAAAATGCATAATTGTGCCATTATAAACTGCAACAGCACCATAACTGTGGGTAAACGGGTAAACAGGGACGTTTCCTTCCACGGGCAAGTGATTTTGTAATCAGAAGTAGAGGTGGGTGATAAATAACGTTACGATGAAAAAATCACGATGATCCGCCGTCAAACAGTATCACCGCGACGTTCCAAAGTCACATAGGTGTTCCTCGGTTCCAATAGCTATTCTCTTCAAATCGGGCCATTTCGGCGATGGGAGTGAGTGAGATAGGATGACTTTCTTTGCTCACTCACAAGGGTCGTAGGTGCTTATTACTACTAGAAAGGGCGGATGAAAAAAAGCTGCAGCAGTTACTATAAACCTATTTATTAACAAAGTAAAATATTTTTGTATATTTGTTTTATTATAGGAAGAGTTGGTATTTTATATTTATGTATAATCTACTTTGTGTATACTACTAGAAATATAATTACATTACACTTTATTGCTATTTTTAACAATCCAAAAATTCGCATTAAATAAATAACAAACAAAATTACATTAAATACAAAATCAACTTTTTGAATGGAATTGAAACTTATTACAAAGGGAGTAAAAACTTACATCAGTCTATAAAAAACGGCTATTAGAAAGAAGCCGCTGGCTAAAACCGTATATCGTGATGTAAGTCACGGAAGTAACAGTCGTGACAAAATGATTTTTTTGGAACCGGAACGACAGTCACGGCGCTAGAAATGTAACGCTATTCCCCATGTCTAATCAGAAGATGCCTAATTTCTTATAAAAACAAATTAATTTCGAGAAAACAAATATGCAACCCAGTGTATGCCTCATGATTTGTAATATATTGCGGCTTTTACTTGGTGCGATATATTTGTGATCCTTTGTTAATACGCCATGAATATCGAACGAACGCACTTTTGTATAATGCATTCAGTTTCCGTGGTACGGCCGCTTGTACATCTCTTTGGCCAAATTTAACATTTAGTGATGTACACGTTAGGCAACACTGTTCTCGATTCTGATAGATTTTGAAAACAAAGGGACGAAAATTATTATGCCCTTAGCAATATATTCTATAACTCTTTTGTTGTAACGTTTCGTTGTTTTTTCAGTTTTGTAGTATCTATTACCAGTAGTATCTTTAATTTTGATAATTTTTGCAGCACGTTGCCTCGAATGTCCGAATATAGTGAGCAAATAATTACATACATCGCCGGGTATGTAGTACGAGTGATACAAAAAAATATATAATGCAAAGAATTAACAGTGCACTGTCTTTACAAAAACCTGGAATTGGTCATACGTATGAGTTCGTTAGTTTCTAGGACAAAGACGGTCTAATTTATGCCACCTAAGATGCTATCCAAATATGCAGAGTAGCAGAGTTAGAAATCCGAGAAATAATATACAAAGAACACGAGTCCATCATTAAGTAAACCTCTTCTGATTAATAAGATTTTACCATATGTTGTCAGTAGTAACATTTACATTTGTCTTGCTATTCATCAATTTGATCATTTACCAACAGAAAAACATCTAGGTGCGTTTTCATTATTTAAGTTAATCGATAAGATCTTCTATTACAAAAAGACAGTTATATAATACGCTTATATTATTTCAAGGACAATAATTTACATATTTGAAGTTGATTAAAAATTTAAGTTTAAATTATTAAGTAATCTAATTTTTTATTAAACAACTTTTAATAAAGGACATAACTATCTTGTTTTAGTATTTTTCTACTATATTAATATTTCACGACTACTTGTAATCAACGAATACTTCAATCGATTAATTGAATGAAATACGTGTATTCCGTTCAATCAATCGATTTAGCGCGGAAGGTTTCCCATCACTAAATAGTTCTTGTGACGTCATGGTGGATACATAAAATGTGGCACGCTCGGTTTTCATACAAATTGCTGTACTTGCGGCGTCTATCTAGATATATGTCTGTGCTTACAACATTTATTATATACCTGATTGTATCATATAACTTCATACCTGTGGAATAATGTTCTCTCGGAACTCATCAGTGAAAAGCGGCGTGGGTGGCAGATCACATGTTAAGTACAGGAAAGGCGACTCTGTTATCATTTCTGCGTACTCCTCACTGCTTAGGTCTACTTTTGCTGCATCGTCCGCATCTGGTGGGGGTAATTTTCTGCAAAATTTGCAATGAACCTATTGATTTATTTTCTCTTTGTAGGACACCCATGCAAGCAGGGATTTGATGCAGATGATGATCAACTGATATAGCAGGGTCAACAATACATACCTTGTATATATTCTCATGTGACCAAGGAAAGATTTGTAGATGATCGAACTATTGGGTTTCTTAGTTCCATTTAATGCCATATGTAGGGAATTTAGGAACCATGACAAAAAGTCAATAGGGTCACCTGAAATGTGACATGTAATGTTTTATTATTAATGAATATAGTTTTAGTTAACTCCTCTGCTCATTTCAAATCCACTACAACCAGCATAAATTTTCAGTGTGGTGAAGTACACCCCTTTTCTTTATGGAGAATTGTATCCTGGGATTCATACAGCACGTAACATATAAAAATAATAGGGTTTGAATTTATAGTTTTTTATTTGCTAATTAATTATTCATTTTCACGATAATTATTCAATATAATATAAATATATCTGATAAATTATCAAAATAGTTATCACATAATACCTTGAAAAATAATGACAATCACTATGTACTAAAAATATATGTAAAACTTCCTAACTGAACTTACTTACGTTGACTGAGTTGGTAAAGTCATCAAACATGTCTAATATTAATAAAAACCACACTATTTCTATCACTATAGTTACAAAACGTTTCATTTCCTATATGTAACAAACGCGAAAACCTAAGAACTCGATATGTACTTACTTTGTTTAATAAACTGGAACTTTTTTTTAGACCATAGAACAACAGCCTGCAGCATTTCATGTGGTGAAACATGTGCTTTGAACGCACGAGGATTCCACAACTTTCTTAATAATTCTCCAAACCTCTGCACTAGCAGGAACGACGAGTCACCAGGTGGTCTTTTTACGTTCGCATAGTTCTCTTCCCGTAAGAAATAATTGCGTAACGGACGCACTTGAGAAAGACACTGTAAGGATAATATCGACTAGTTAGCAAGGAAATTGTATACATATTCCACATATTTGTATATACAATTTAATTTTGCCATGCCACTATTAATCGAATTTAAAATTTATCAAAAGGCACTATCTCTTACATCTTAAACCAAAGTCCATAAATAAATGTTTTACTTTCACTTACATGTTCTTTACAGGGTAAGGAAAATTTAATAGAAAAATAGAGAAAATGCATACCTGCAAAATAACATTGCAGTAGTCATTAGCCTTAATATTGTTGAGTCCAACAATTCCCGGCATGTACATAGTACCGTCGATGGCGCGTGACATCTTTGTGTTTGTATCCATCTGAGCTATCTGCTCTGGTGTGAATGTTGGATTTAAAACATATTTTATGTCATTAAGGGATGAGTCTGGAAGAAATAGTTGTGGATACGACTGTAAGAGTTCATGATTATACTTTTTCAAGCAGTTTTTACTGCTAATGCTCTTTTATGCAAAATGCCTCATTTGAGATTGTAAACAGGCTATCTTTTCAATTGCTTTTTGTAGCTCTAAAATTGTACTTTATCAGAATAGGTTTTTACACTTAGAATGCTTACATAATTTTAAAGCAGTCTGTACCAAAAGGAACAAATAGTTATTGAACAATAATGAAATTACCAATGACTTCATAATTATCTGGTAAGCAGTAGAACTTCAATGTGTGTAGATTGAGGAAGACATGGTGTCCATCTGCCACAGAATGAGTGTAAGCATGAGTGTTGGTGCCCCTGCCCTGTTTGTGAGACATAGCATAACATTAAAAGTGTGAACAATATCTGCAAATTTACTTCAAATAAAAGTATTTATATAATTTATAATTGTAATAGGTTCCTTCAAAAATAGGTATATTCAAATAAGCAATATCATATAAGGATATGTGAAAAAAAATTAAAACAAGTCAAATAAGAAGTAATTTTATTAAACTATGTCGAACATGTACCTTGTACAGTCGTATACATGAGATACCCGACCCCCTAACATGCCCAAACTGACCTTTAGGTTCTGAGAGCCATTTTACGTATTGAAATATGATATATAACCCAACCATGTTGGGTCATGACAACCACTTTGGCTCCTAGTTGGATTGGAGGTGATGCGCTCGATAATGAGTAATGTCGCCAATCTTCACGGCAAACCCTCTTGCACATTGAGCGCAAGTGAGTACACCGCCAACATAATTATAATGAAGCAACGTAAACATAGAATTTTCTCATAACCCATTGACCACACATGCAGTAGTAAAAATAAAAAGTTTTTATTTAGGTCTAATCTACTAGAAACAAAGTAATATGTAAGAAAAATTCAAAAACTATTGAAATAAAATAACTACCTCCAATAAGAATAGAAAGTGTTAACGTTGATCCAATCTATCCAAAACAATTTAAAAAAATAAAACATTGCTGTTTTGTTTCACAGTGCCCCCTTTGGTTAAGTACAGCCTCATTTGCTAATAAATGAAAGAAGTAACGCACCTGAAAGTACTTTCCGCAGACCAAACAAGCATAAACATTGATCCTAGTGAGTGACACCGAACACAACTTCTCAAAATCAAAGTCTAGCACATGTCTATTTATAGTGTCTAAATAAGGACACTGTATCGTAATAGTATTGTTTCTTTTCAAAGGATGATCTGGAAAATACAATGAATAAGTTATTAAGCGCTATTAGTCGTTAAACAATAGAGGTTATAAAATGTATTTACCAGAAATTCCAACACCATTTTCTTCAGAAATTTTTCGCTTTTTCGGTAGCTCTACACGTTTTTCTTCTTCAAACATCTTACAACTGTTTATTACAGGAGAACTTAGAAAAAAGACACCTTATAATACGTAAACCAAGTTATTCTAAACCTATCTTTCTAAACGTCAAAATAATGCATTTTATTTGTAATAGAGCAACCTCAGCTAGTCATTACTCCGAGAGAGCAACAGAATCCAATCCAAGGGCGTGAAAGGTATAGCAATATGAGATGAGATTAACTGCTACATTCGCATAGCACGCTGAATGCTAAATTTTTATAGCGCGCTATTTAAAGTGCTAAAATTATAATTTTTAGCAGCTCAAGATCGTGTGATAATGTAACGAACGAAAAGAAACGTGAAATAGTTGACGTGCGCTAACTTGTTAAGTACAGCAATGGTCTATCTATAGAATAGTTTACAGTTTTTTATGGTTAGTTACGACTGACTTCATTTGTTTTGTAACTATTACATAATATGGTGGTTACAGGTGGTTATAGACGATAAATCAATGAATGAGCTTCCCTTCATACTTTAACAATTTGCACAAAACTTTTACACTGGTTATTTATAGTAAATTACACTCATAATAATTAATAATAACGCATACACTCGTACTTTTATATACAAATATTACAACGACTTATTAATTAAACAAACGCTAAACTAACTAAATAAATCCAAGTACTTAATTATATCTTAGTTTAAATCGCTTCACCAGACGAACGTTCCACCAAAAGCTCAAAATAGAGGTGGGTGATAAATAACGTCACGATGAAAAAATCACGATGATCCGCCGTCAAACAGAATCACCGTGACTCGGTCCGAAGGACCGACGTTTCAAAGTCACACAGTGTTCCTCCATTCTAATAGCTATCCCGTCACTCACATCACGACATACGCATTTGATACAATGCGCGATCCGATCTCCGTTCCGTGGTGATTGAGCGCGCCACTCGTTGTAGTTCTCTTCAAATCGGGCCATTTCGGCGATGGGAGTGAGCGAAATAGGATGACTTTCTTTGCTCACTCACAAGAGTCGTAAGTGCTTATTACTACTAGAAAGGGCGGATGAAAAAAAGCTGCAGCAGTTACTATAAACCTATTTATTAACAAAGTAAAATATTTTTGTATATTTGTTTTATTATAGGAAGAGTTGGTATTTTATATTTATGTATCTACTTTGTGTATTCTACTAAAAGTGTGAAGGTTATTTCGGATCAACTTTTTGAATAAAATTGAAACTTATTACAAAGGGAGTAAAAACTTAAATCATTCTATAAAAAAAACGGCTATAAGTATTAGAAAGAAGCCGCTGGCTAAAACCGTATATCGTGATGTAAGTTATAGGCGTGACAAGGTCACGGAAGTAACAGTCGTGACAAATTACCGTGATTTTTTTGGAACCGGAACGACGACAGTCACGGCGATAGAGATGTAATACTATTCCCCATGTCTAGCTCAAAATCGTATTAAAACGTAATCAAAATTATAATTTATAACATAACTACAATAATAATACTTGCTAATTACTAAATATAGCATTAGCGCTTAGCGTACTAAAACGTGAAATTTAACATCAATAAACCAATCAGCTATTTCGCGTTTCGCACCAAACGTTAAATGTTACAAATAATATGTGAAAGTATTTCACGTTATAATTGTTTCAACCAATGACAAGAGCCGCAATTTTCACATAGAATATAGTGCCATCTATGAAATATTAAGGGAGATAACTCAGGACGAAGAAGGATTTTGTTTGTTAGCTGCGTAAGTGAAGCACGAATGGATTGATGGTATGGCATTGAATATTGTAAAATTATGTCGCTAGATGGTATTTGGTTTAATTTTCTTAACGTACTCCAATCCAAAGTGAAAAAAAGTTCGTTATAATTTTAGCACCTTTATGTCTTTCAAATTATAATTGCTATAATTTTTTTCAAATTTATTGTTATGATTTGAGCTATATATTATATTAACCATCCCTATATAAAGCATATCTTTGTACTCACTCTGCACTTACGAATCGACAAACTTATCCACCAAAAATCTTCTATTCATGTCTATTTTGTTGTCAATTTGTATGGTTTGTGATTTGTGTAGAAAATGCAAAAGGAATAAAACTATTTAATTTAATTTTTACCTATTTATGAAGGTCGTATTCCAGTACTCTACTCAATGCTCAAGTCAGGAATTGAGTATGATTCAAATTACTACAAATCATACTTATGTCCTTGCCATTAGGGTCGTATTTCCAGTGCTTGTGTTTCCAGTGCAATCCTGACTTGAGCATTGAGTAGAGTTCTAGAATACGACTCTTTGGGTCGTATTCCAGAACTGTACTCAATGCTCAAGTCAGGATTTGAGCAGACTTGGGTATGATTTCAAGCACTGGAAATATGACCCTAATGACAAGGACTTGAGTATGATTTCTAGTGCTTTGAATCATACTCAAGTCCTGACTTGAGCATTGAGTAGAGTTCTATAATACGACTCATAGACTATTCCTTTATTTTTTCCATCCTCCTAATAAGCTTTTTGATGGCAGGATTTAGTAGTTACATTTTTTACACGAATTAATTTTTAGTCTATGCAGTTATACTACGTTGTGCGTTTTTTGATTATTTGTTACCATTATACTGATGGCTCCGAAGCCAATGCTTTATAAATAAATAAAAAAATAAGTGTCTTTTTTAATTTTGAAAAAATGGCGGATTTTAGTAGTTACAATTTTTACACGAATTAATTTTTAGTTTACGTTGTGCGTTTCTTGATTATTTGTTTTAGGGTCGTATTCCAGGACTCTACTCAATGCTTAAGTCAGGACTTGAGTATGATTTAAGGCACTGAAAATCATACTCAAGTCCTTGCCATTAGGGTCCTATTTCCAGTGCTTGATATCATACTCAAGTCTGCTCAACTCCTGACTAGAGTTCTGGAATACGACGCTTAGACTATGGAAACTTTTTTCCATCCTCTAAGTTTATTTGTTACCATTAAGCTGATGGCTCTGGAGCCAATGCTTTATAAATAATTAAATAAATAAGTGTCTTTTCACTTGAGATTATTTTGTAAATGTACTGTTGGCTGTCACCTGCAGTAAATTTTATTATTTAACCAACTAGTATCCTCAGAATCTTAGGAATGAATATGCTGAAAATGGTTTGAGCAAATTTTTTCTATTAATTTCGAATAACTAAATGAGAAAATGTCGTTCTAGTGTCAGTGGTCTGTAGATACTCGATGTCTGTAGAATACTACTCGCTTAGTGAAATAAAAATTATAAGTTTTTTTTAAAATAATGTAAAGGAAAAATGGTAACAATTTAATAATGAGTGTAGCTTCCTCTTGCCAAAATCACAGTATTCTTCTAGGCAAGCTTTCGAGGATATTGCTTATGACCTCTTGTGGAATATGTGCCCATTCCACGACGATGAGATTTTTTAGCTCCCTCATGTTTTGTGGTGCTGTCTGCGCTGACCTTACCAATAGCTTCAGAACATCACAGACATGCTCTATTGGATTGAGGTCGGGACTTCAAGCTGGCCAATGCAAACGCCGGATTCCAACCTTTTAAATGGTTTATTCCGTAAATCCCCACTAAGAAATCCCCACTGGTGGGGATCGTTACATTTTATTCCACAAATCCCCACTAACGTAGCACTTGCTACGCGGTGGGGATTTGTGGAAAAAAAATCCCCACCAAGATATTATTTTTACCAGACTATAACAAACCAAAAGGAGGGTTATGTTTTTGTTATTGATTTTCAACTCCAATGCCTCGTCATTACATCGACACATAAATTAAATGGGTTTTCATTAAATTGATAGCGAAGTTGAAAAATTTGAGTTTGAATTTATTTTAAATAATTAAATATTACAATTTGCTTATTTTCTCCCTTGAACGCGTAAGAAATGTGAGGAGAGGTCTACTCGATTCTACCAAAGGTACTCAATTTGTTTTGTAGTTAATAATACATATAATAAAATATTGCTGTGGTAAGTATAACATTGAACACGTGTGTTTAGGGTTACAAAAACACCACGAGGAAAACATGTTTCATAAAGGAATAGAGCTACTTTTGTTTAAGAACAAAGGACTTGACCCGAAGTCATAATCAGCTGTGTTATTATTTTCTAAAACGTTTGGTGTGCCGTTCGTAATTGGTTGATTATTTTATGACTCGTGCATCCCTTGCGGCTACCTGGAGTGCTAATATTTTAAATTTATTTAGTGTGTTAAGAGTATTCACTGTGCGACATACATATTTGGAGCAATTATGCAAGGGTGTTCTACATCTTCAAATGATGCACCAGGGTTTGAATACGTGTTCAAAGCAAGGAAAGAGATCAATTCATCTTTCAGACTCAGAGGGAATTGGCTGATGGCCACATAACACTTGAACACTTTTTGGAAAAAATGAGATAGTTTCGTATGATTATAGACATTTTAATGATTTATATGAGCAAAGTATTGTTTATTTGTTGACTTGTTGATTTTACTTAATATTAACATTTTTCAATATTGTTTTAGTTTTTTAAGTAATCTAGTCAATTATTATAAATATGTGATTTTTTTAAGAAAAAGGCGTACCCTTAATAAACGTTTTAAATAATCATTTAGTCACTTTTTAAAACTGTGAAAAGTTCAGCTTCTATTACATGGTTATTAACTATTTTCAAGTTAATTTTTTTTACAATTTTGAAAGAACTTACTTAGTATTTTGTAATTATTTCCCTTTCCTGTGCGAAGGGCGTTGATTACTAACACTGCTGTGACATTCGGTCTCCCTTGAAATATTTCTTATCAATCATGATTGTTGAAATGAAACACGAAGAAGGCTAATCACCTCTTAAAATAAGACTCATTTCTTTTATGTCAGTGCAAATTATATTTTTCTTTTTGTATTTGAATAAAACCTTTTTAATGAATTTTTTTTTAAACTCATTATTATCATGCAGTTCCAAATTATGTTACTTTTAAAAAACTAATAGAAAACACGTTTGTGTGTAAATGGTGGTAATAACAATAAAAATACACAAAATAATATCTTGGTGGGGATTTTTTTTCCACAAATCCCCACCGCGTAGCAAGTGCTACGTTAGTGGGGATTTGTGGAATAAAATGTAACGATCCCCACCAATGGGGATTTCTTAGTGGGGATTTACGGAATAAACCTTTTTAAGGGTTTTTTAAGGTTTTTTAAATATACGCTTCCACATCGCCAGAACGGGGCGCGAGGGTTGTCATCCATAAAAATGGAATCTTTTCCAAGAACAGTCAATGCGGGTTGTACGTGAGGAATTAGGACCCCCTCATGTATCGGTGTGCATTCAACGTGCTATTTTCGATGAAGGCTAACTCCGTATGTTCCATCGAATGAATCGCTGCCCTAAACATAACGGAGCCTCCACCATAAGGGGTGACTTCTTTAAAACACATGTCTGCAAAGCGTTCCTCTGGTCTTCGTAGCACTCGCCGACGGCGGTCTTCACCACACAGAGAAATCCTGGCTTCATCAGAGAACAATACTCTTCTCCAGTCATTTTGAGTCCATGTAGCATGGTTTCTAGCGAAGTTCAGTCTAGCAACTTTATGCTCACGGAGTAATTTAATTTTAGGGCCACGAGCTGTGCGATGACTGCGTATATTAGCAGCAAGAAGCCACCTCCTGACAGTCCATAGGCTAATTTGTACTCCTCTCACTTACTTTCTATTCTTCTTGAGGTCCGCGTATGAAGCGTTGCGATTTCTCAACGCCCGGCTTGCCAGGAAGCGGTCATCCCGTGGTTCGGTGCATGGTTTTCTTCCAGAACCTGTCTGTCTATTGACGGAATTAAAGAAGATAACTTATCAAAATGTATAAGTGATTAATTAGTTCATATGAACTTTCAACAATTACCGCCCTTTTATGTAGTGAAGAGTAATTATCCTGTAGAGAGGTTTATTTATTTTTTCCATCCTCTGGGTTTATCTCTTAAATTTGAATTTGGAACGAATGTTTTTACAAATGAGGACACTTAACTATCAAGCCAGCGACATTTTTGAATGAATAAAACCTTTTTCGTATTGTAATTATTTCAGACAGGAAAAAAATGAAAGGTGCCCGTTTTTTTTTTGCAAATGAGTTTATTATATTTACGTTTAGATATATGTTTTGAAGTTTTACTTAATGTGAATTATATGTATAATAAAGTTATATAGCTGAAAGCAAGGTAATGTAAAACGAGATTTATAGTGATTGGTTAACAGTGGAAAAAAAAAACAATAGGTAAACAACAATCTTTGACTCCATTGTTTTTGAGCAGCACAAACTAATAAGAGATACTACGTGTTGAGTAGTATCTTCAACTTTTCACAAGTGTCAACTGTCACATGTGGATAAATATGATATAAATATTCGGAAAATTATTAATTTTTCAAAATGGAAATTTATCCACAACCCAACACTAGCTTTGAGTTTCCCTCTACCTCTTTCAGTACATTGACCTACTAACAAATGGTTTGCGCTAAAAAGTATCCGCACCTATAGGTCGTTAAAATCGCATATAGCGTCAATCGCGCAACAGTCTTCGTTTGTAGACTAACAGTGCGGTTGTCAATCATGCAGTACTATATACTATATAACTTGTAAAAATTACTGCAGTAAAGTGTAAAAACAGGATTTTGTATCATATTTTCACTAGACAAATATATTGTGTTATCATAGTTATCATTTAAAGTGTTATTTTGTACAGTTGTATAGTATTTAATTTATATATAAATTAATCGTGAATATAAATTACAAAAGCAAAAACAAAATAATCAAATAGCTAACTGTCCTTTTATTACACTTTGCATGCGCAAAAGATGGAAAGAGACCCATTACGTCAATTTCAAGAAGCTTATACATATAAACTTCTTGGTCATTTTCAATTGTTCAAACCCATTTCGAACCATAAGCGATTGAAATATTTGAAACAAAGAAACTATAGAGTCGTGTTGTTTTTAAATCTTATTTTTAAAACGACTTTTTATTAAAAGTTAGCAATAACTAACAAAATATTGCTGTGCTACGGCTTGAGATTACCTATCAGAAGTCCCAAAATACATTAGCCCGTTACACCAAGTACCAAGTACATTAGCCCGAAATAACGTAACAACAATCATTACAATTAAAAAATAACATTAGCTCGAATCTTCATCATGTCAAGTGTAATTTTTAGGAAAATTACATAACAAAAGTTAAAAATCAATAGCATCAAAATTATATTTAAAAGGAATTTAAATGTTGTTGCATAATAAATAGAATTCAGATTCGTCATTAATCACAGACTATTAGATGCTAACGCATTGCCATTAATGTACAGGAAGGCGTGGTAACCGGGCGGTAGCCGAGCGAAAACTTTATTCTTGTGTAACTGGGCGCTAACGGTTTTATTATAAATCGATTTTCGGAATTACGGATATTGGAGTTTACGTTTAGTTGGAATATCGGTACATTACTTATAGTACACGCTTATTTTCACATTTGTAATATTTGTATATACATACATACGCTTCGAAGCGTATTTGTACAAAATTCGATATAATAATATACATAATAATTTATTGATATTTACAATAAAGGCCACTCCATCACTATTGTGTTAAAGTAATTTTCAGTAGAAGCTAAATATGGTGCATTTTGTTAAGCTTCCAGTAGAAGCTGAATATGGTGTTTTCGGGCCCTTTAAATTGTTGCAAGCTAAATTAGGCAGTACTTCAATGACGTTACAATTTAAATGAAATGTTTTAGTTTTTTTATACTTCGTTACATGTCACTACGTTTGTATAAGTTAACTTCGGATATTTTTTTCGTGGTTTTTGTATTGGACCCGACGTCCATTTGTTAGTAGGTCAATGCCCAAGAGCAATAAATATAATATCGTGTTGGGTCATGGAAAAAGTTCCATTTTGAAAAATTCGTATGTATCAGAAAAATGGATACTTTTCCTAATATTTTTATTATTATTTCCTTAATGGCAGCCACTAGGCTTGGTCTAATGTCAGTTTCAGGGAATGCGGTCAGTTAAAACATTCTGCACCCTGCGCTCGTCCGAACTCTGTTGATCAACAGAGTTCGGAAGAGTGCAGGCAGATAATATAGGTAAAAAACGTTAAGCCGCATATTTTTCCTGTACTTTTCTAAATTTGACAGTTAATGTCAAAAGTTCTTTTTTGTCAAAAGTTGATACTGAACGAAAACGGTACATAAAGATTTTTTTTCCTATGATTTTATTTTCGCTGATGTGCAATCATTTTTGAAATCGTTTTTCTATAATTTACTTTTAGCCATGTACAATTTTATTTTATAACATAACTTCATAAGAATTTTTTAAACGTAGAACACAATGTATAGAGTTATATTTTTCCAATTTTTCAGACATTTTTAAGAGAAATTTTCTACAATTTGAAATTTTTCGGAACATTGCCCATTGGCACTACTGCACTGCCCATCTCTGATTATAAACAGTTATCTTGAACGCAGGGTGCGTTTATATTAACAAAAATGACAGATCATCTGTCTTACTTGTCAATTGAAGTTCATCAGTTGCTTTTTCCCGAAAATGGCCGCTTCGGGAGGAAATATCGAATGGTCAACAACGATAAAACCAATATTAACAGCACTTTACGGCCCGTTTTTCGACAAAAACGATGCCGTGGAAATCATACAAGCGATCATCAAAAGGTCAGTGTCGTCCATTGTACTATGAGGGAGTATTTTTATTTTTTGCATTGATGGGTCATTTGACGATTATTCAGCATTTATTTATTTATTTATAATTGTTTATTGGGTAAAAACATTTTTAAACAGTAAATATGGTAGTGTCTAGGGAATCATTCAATTCAGTGTACGTAATACTCATCATGGAACTATTCTCTAACTACTAGTATACTACTACCTCCTTATGTACCAAAAATTGCTTTTCTTTTGTCTCCTATAATAAAAAAACAAACTTTGTAATTCCTCTGTAACTAGAACACCTCAACCTAGTCAGAATGTCACGCTATGGATAAAATTGATATGGACTTCAAAGATATATAAATCTACATAATATGTATCAAACAATAAAACTATTGTTCACAGTGAGAGTGAGTTCCAGAACCATGAAGATATCTATGATCTGTTCTACACATGCTTTGCATGCCTATCTGCACACTTCATTAGCATCAATGCTAACAATTGTAAGTATCATCTATATTTTTCCTGGATTTGAATATAATTACATGGATCTTTCACGAATATAGCAGTATAATAGATTGCAATAGGTCCTATAAGATTGGCTTATGAGACCTATAAGACTGGTTTATAGGACCTATTGTAATGTACAACTTAAGTTAAGCTACAAGTTAAGATTTCTTAAAACTTTTTGGAGATTTTCAATGATGGCAAAATGTTTGATAGAGCCAGGTCTATCATTGTATTGCACCATATTTTGCAACAATCAGTTATAAAAAATAATATGAACAGCATGCTTTATTAAGCAATCTTTATTATTCAATAAAATTTAGAATTTACTAGGCTCTGCTCTAGATTATAGTAGGTTTTGTTGAATACTTTAACTCTGTTCAAAGATGCTCTTTATTGTCTATAGTACCATCAGACCAACTGACCACCGCGCGTGATGCATTCAGAGTCATACTCAGACAAATACTAAAGAAATTGTCGGAAGCTGGAGTCAGTTGCGATGACAACACTACCACTGCTGCACCTAATGTGTCTGTCAAACAGGTATAACTTATCATTTTCTACTTCTTCAAGTCATGATGATGCACTTGTTCATGTAATGTCTGATACAGCTTTTTTTTTTATTTATGTCCTGTGATGTGTATTTTTCCATAAAGCTTCCATTTCCTTTTTCCGTTCCTACATTGTCTATTTCAAGCTTAAGTAAATTGAAATCAATAAAAATGTTTAATCACGTTTCAGTTGCTACTCCCCATTGTGGGACTTTGTGGAATTGACGGAGGGGGCTACCCTCAATCTGACCTAGTTATATTGACATCTTTACTCAAGAATGCTAAATTACCGGCTCATGTCACAGTACCAGGTAAAATCTTGATTAATTTAATTTACATTTAGAGTATAGCTAATAGGTAAACAATGTGCATACAAATATGATCTAATTATGTTTATTGCATAAAATCCTTTGTATGTATTTATTTTACTGTGTTGAGCATCAAGCTTTAGTTTCGTATTTTTTTACTAAGTAGCAGTACTCTTTGTAGAGCCACAAACCCCAAAATCATCAGTGATACCGAGCCCAATAACATCTCTAGCATCTCAAGCCCCAACTACTGAGAAACAACAGCCGTCGAATGCCCAGCGCCGTTCTGATGCCCTGCTGGAGACGTTGACTGCGCCATTACGGAATCCAGTGGCTTCGATGACGTCATCACAGGCTCTACCCACTGCAGCAGTCATGTCGCCCGGGAGTAAAGATAGTCTGGAGAGCACCAAAGAGAATGCTTCGCAACAGGCTAACGCTGATATGAAGGTTAACAAAGCCTTATAACCAACAATTTGATTGTTATAACTAAGTTTATAATTTTACTAGGTAAAGAACACTGAAAATCATATACATGTAAAATAAAAACACAGTCTTGTCAATGAACCAATATTTATTACTTTTTTAAGGTACAGATGGCAGCACATCAAGCTACATATGGACTGATCTTGTTCCATTGCACTAGATGCGATATTCGAAGAAAATTGTACAGCTTGATGTGCTGTTGACTGTAGATACCGAATGACGCAAAATTGACAATATTTTTACATCTGTAATGTTACTTAGTCCTCATATGTTTCTTCCGAACAATTGACATACAATCAATCGCGAATATAATAACAGAAATGGGTGGCGTCAACATGCGCCTCGCTACTTATGGAGCTACGCGCAGGCAGCGTGGTGTTGAAGGTGTGCTGCACGCTGCCCTGTTTGCAGCGTTATCTCAACCGCTGGCAATCCGCCAAGGAGACTTCCGTCGCGCCACAGTTCAACTCTGATGCTTCACTGTGAGTAATAAAAAGTAATCTTTTTGAAACTATAACTGTATCTATTTTATAATATCTAGTGACGGGACGAACGAATTGTGTGCCTGATGGTAAGCTACATGCCTGTCCATAACAGTTGCAGTTGCAGTGAGATGAATCTATCCTGGATACTTAAGTCGAGGGTAAAATGGGTTTTATGAACGAGTTATGCACTCTGCTTTTCACTTCGATTGCGAGGAAATTAGACAGCAATATTACAAATAAATGATTATTTAATTAAAATTGAATGTAAATTTGCAACAATTAATCATATTTAATGTGATGGTTTTTATATTTTATGCACTAGAGCATAAAATCCTATTTTATGCACTAGAGCAATGGTTCCCAAACTCATTTTGTCTACTGCCCACTTTGAGAATAAATTATTTTTTAGCACCCCTATTTTTTGTGACCGTCAGGATGGCTGGTCGCCTGTGGCGTCTGGCAGTGAGTGTATATTCAAGAATTGCTACCTATTTGCTACTATTTGCTACCTTTTCTAAATAATTGCTACCTATGATATATTCTGAAAAATTTAAAAACATTTTTGACCAGCCATTCTGACGTCAGGATGGCTGGTCGCCTCTTATCGCGTTATTATTGAAATGCAACTTTATAGTATTCAGACAGAGTATCTTTTATTCAAAATAAAACAAACATAATCGATTCTAATATAAAAACTAATGTGAAGGATAAATCTGATGCTGTTTCATAAGTTTGTTGATGTCAGGTTCCAATTTGCTGAAAAATAGCCGCAAGTCACCACATTCGGTAACATGCATACGATTTCTCTTTTTAGTAAACAGCGTTGTCACATCACTAAAACCACGTTCACACAAATATGACGATGGGAATGCTATCAAGAATCGTTGATACAATTACAATTTTTGAACTTGATTTTTATTTCTTCGTTTGTTGCCAATTCTTTAAGTTCTTCTTCCAGCTCAGGTGATATTGCTGTGACTGTGTTGGATTGGATCCAACACCCAGCCTGGTATTTCCAAGTTCAAAATGTCCTGGTATCGTTCGGTGAAGTCAATGTGGAGGTTTTCCAAATGTTGGCAGTAGGCAAACAAGTCTTTGTTACTGCAGGATACTGATAAATTCGGAAAATTGTGAAACTCACGTCTGCCCACATATTCTTCTTGAGTAGATTAGAAGCAGTTTGGCTGCGAAAGCGGTAACGACATTTTTTGTTTTAATTAAATTTAGTTCATCGCCTTGCAGTTGGAGATTCATGTCGTTGAGCAATTTATACAGGTCTGTAATGTAAGCTATATCATTCTTTGATGTAATGAGCTTGTTGCGCAATTCTGTATCTTTAGTTTCCAAGAACTAAAGTAGAAAAAAAGTAGTAAAGTGGACTCATCGAGCTGAATTCAGAATTGACTACTCCTCAGATGATTGCACAATGATTCTTCAATGTTTTCAGCCATTTCATCAATTCGTCTTTGCACAGAATTATTACTCAAAGGAATTTTTTGGATAATATCTGCGGCCGGTTTATGAATTACAGTAGTTATTACTTCCTTTATTGCTGGCAAAATTAACTCTTCTCCGATGTTGTGTGGTTTCCCTTTTTGAGCAATTAACAAAGAGATATTGTGCGAAGCTCGAAGTCCGTCGTCATCTTGCTTAGCAGCCGCCGAAAAGAGTTGCTACACTTGGCTGAGTTAGAGAGTTTAGATTATCTTTCTTCTCTAGGTCTTGAAAATATGCTACATTATTGTCTTTCTTGTCTGGATGCATTTTATTCAAATGATCTTGCAGTCTTGACGGCTTCATTTCTTCATTCGAAAATGTTTTTAGACATGGAAGGCACAAAGGCGACGATGGGTTTGTGGGATTTTCAATGAATTCAAATTTAATATATTCCGCACAGTATTGCCGGCTCTTCTTTTCTACTTCCGACATTGTTTTGTTTTGAGAAATACGTAAGTAAGTGTTGAACTTAAGTAGTGCTTATTTATTACGCGCGAAACCGCAAATGAAAATAAAATAAATATTAGGTTGTTTATATAGGATTGCAGAAGCAGCACGCACCGGCAGGAATAAGACGAACATGCATAAACTCGTTTATCTCATTCGACGCGCAATCGTACTCTACAAGTAAGGGCGCGTTCCCACTATGTCGTCACGTTTTATTGTCGTTGGACGACTGTCGTGTCTAGCCTGTTCCCATATCATGACTATCTGTCGTGGACGATTTTTTATCGTTGAACGACTGTCGTGACTGGCTATTCCCACTAGATCGTGATGACAATAGGAGCTGCGACAATCTGTCGTCACGTTTTTATGGTGACGTTTTTTTATCGTCTGATGACTGTCGTTCTAGCTGTTCCCACTGAATACAGTTTGTCGTTGTAACGATAAAAAATCGTGAACGACAGTTAATCGTGTCGTGCTATATGTAAACAACTTGATTGAAATATACAAGGCACGACACTGTAAACTGCACGACAATCTGTCGTCACGACATAGTGGGAACGCGCCCTAAGAACAGTATCCTATGAACCAGCCGATTGATACAGGAATGCACAAATCGAGTTATTTAACAAAAACTTGTTAAAACATGATTGCCCGTGGTTTATTATCTACGAAAATTACCTATCTAGGAATACTAATAATTATTAAAATGCGAAACTGTGTCTGTTGCCTTTTTATTTGTTTGTTTGTGTCTACTTTCATTTCGAAACGGGGCGACCGATTGACATGATTTTAATTTTATTTATTCAATAAAACAGGACAGATATATGTATGTACTACACGGAGAGAAATATCGAACCGAGTTAGTTTGAGCAATCTCTTAATTAATATTAGTTGATGTTCACAAGTTGTAGTCGAGTGTCGAGAGCTCAGTCGGTGTCTAAGAGTCTTCCTAGATGAAATTACAAATCTCTCCCTAAGCCTGTACACAACGCCCCGATTTTTTTTTCTGGGTCCCTTTACCCTTTAGGCCTGCAAAGCCCACAAGGGGGCGTTATCGCCCACTTTGGGAAAGGCTGCACTAGAGCATAAAATCCTATTTTATGCAGCCTATTTATGCTGGGTGACCAGCATAAATACGAACTTTAAGAGCATGAGAAGTGGAAATACTATTTTTATATAACCAAATTTATTTCTTTTAGACTCCACTTTTTGGTGAACGAGGTGATAGTGTGTCGGCTGGCGCTGTCGCTACCGTGCCTAGAGCCGTTTACGCCTGAACGCATCGCCAAATTGAGTGACGTCAGCACTTCCTGGCTCCTTTGCGCTACTGCACAGGTAGAGTGACATAGTACTAATGCTGTTGACCACAGAGAATGTGTGTTAAACCAGAACCTCTACGCGGTTATAGGTCGTTCTATACATATATTATGTCCATTAAATAATTGCAATATACTTATTACAGTTAGATTTAAAAAAGGAATTACTCTCCTTGTATATTGTTTTTGTTCTAAGTGATGTTCACAAAATAAAGTAACATTGACCTTGGTGGTCCAACGGTTTGCACTGTGGGCACTGGATGAAGAGGTCCCGGGCTCAGTTCCCGGTATGACCAATTTGAGAAGTGATCATTTCTAAATTGGTTCTGGTGTGTTTCTTCTAGTTTGAGAATAGGTAATTGGTGTAGTTGTCTGGCACATCATTAATGTTCCCTAGGCGTCGCTGCACCCAAAAGATGAAGAGAGCGAACAGCAAACAGCTACCCTCGTTGAAAGTGCACTCAGCCTATACAACACTGTTGGAGAAACATTCAAACATTCTACTCGTGCTGGTGGATATGTAAGTAACTTTTGTTTTACTTTTTGGTATTAACAGAGTATTGTAAGCAGCATAATCATTAAACTGTCTCGTTTTACTATAAGTCCCTTTGCTGCTCTGCCATGCAGAAATAGTTGTATTTATATTTCTCGTAAGTTTAGGTGTAATTTTTGGTTGTCTGTCTGTAATTTGTGTGTGTCAATGGCACCCGCGATACAGGGTTTACCTAGTACGGGCTTACCTAGTATTTATTTATTAATACACTCAATTAGAAAGCAGAAATATTTTTAAAAGTAATGTGTTTCTTACTGCTAATGTAAATTCGTTATAGTCATTAACCCAGTCCTTCACTTTATCAAAGCAAAACTAGGGACAGCATGTTTATTATGTAGCATTACAAGTTCCTTGATGTTTTGTGAACATAAAAATACTGACTGCAAATTAAAAGGCGTGTAGAAACTTCAGAAGCTCAAAAGAATCAGTAATAAACACAAAGAAATTATTAAGGTCTGCTGATTTGGTCTGTAGCTTAGTTGGTTAAGAGCGATAGCCCCGGCGTGGCAACAGAAGCTGATTGAAGTCTAGTCAAATCTAAGGAATTTTTCGTTGTGTTCTTTGTATTGAAAATAAGAGTCCCGGGAATGAATGATAAAAATCAAAATTATCAATCAAAATTTAAAAAAAAATTAATTTGGATAACTTTTAAATGTTGCTGAATTGACACACAAATACTATCTATAATAAAGTTAATGCTGAAATAAATGTGTGTGACGTTAAGTATTTCATTTTAACAAGAAACATATATTATATATATATGTATATATATATATAACCTAATTCTTTTTCTGATTTAGCCTAAATACGCTCCGCTCAGCAGCTCAGCAGCAACGAACTAGGTGACCGTGTTAACTCAAAACATGTGTTTAGGTGACTGATCTTTCTTTACATGGTCTCTCCAATTATCATACTGTGTATTTCAAAGTCAATAATTTATTTGCATGTCACAGTATAGTAAGCATGTAAAATACGATTTAAGTTAGTAGATTATTCTAAACTATCATGTGACGCCCTGTAAGGGCATGGCAAATTACCGAGGGAGTTTTGTTGTAATAGATTAATAAATTTATATGAACAAAATAGATATTTTAAACAGTTCCAATGCATTAAAATGTTAATACAGAACTCCGAAGTGTATTATTGTCAAAATCAGTTTCAGACCTCTCATAGTTTCCCTCCCTCGAACCAGTGTTAACCCAATAATAAATAAATGTGCATCGTTCGTACCAGGTTTACCAAAACCACCTTATGATCGGTGGCTGGGTGCTGCTGTGCGGTCTTCACCACGCGCTCGCCGGTGCACCTGTACAATCAACCTCTACGGGCAAGAGTCCCGCTAAGACGCCTTCTAGGCCTTACAACTTAACCAAAATGTAAGTAACATTATTTACATCACTTTAATGCAACTATTTTATTTTTGTCGCCACTTTGTAGTTTATTGGATTTAGCCTAGACTGTAATACCTACGTACTTGGTTCAAATATTCTCAATGTAGATATTGAGAGACGACAAAAGATAGAAAGACACTGAACCATGATGAAAATGCTTACAACACTACATTGTGCTATGCTATGACGAGGAACCGTAGAGGTGTGTCTCGTATGTCGCGTACAAACCCCCAGTACATCTCGCCTGTGTACTGGGGCGGGACACCTTGAGAGGTGCTCTGAGTGGACCTCCAGCCCACATTTAGGTCAAACACAGCCCAACAGGATTTAAGCTTCAATAGCTAGTTATCGCGGTGCAAGCGTACATACCAGCTACTACCGACCCTAATGATGCCAACGATAGGCACCCACATTCATAGGCGTCAATGAGGCTAGTCTACTGCGGGTCGAGTCAGCAGCACGTGGCAAATTGATAGTCATAGAACATGTATCGTTACAATATTAAACTCAATTAACTTAGTTGTGTGTCTTTCCACCGTGTCCATACACGTTGTAATGTTAAACAGTAAATAGAGGAACTTACCAGTTGTTTGTCTCTTTGGGTACATTCACTTACACAGCCACATCTTTAGTTTTAACCAAACAGAAGTGCACTCGGTTCCCTTGCCGTTGACGTTGCTGCCGTCTCGATATTGTCAAAATAACAAGTTAGCAAAGGCAAAGCAGTGTTACCACAATACAAATAATGGGTGAAGTTAGTTTACTCACCAAATGATTGATTATCGCATGATTCGCGACAATATTCAACCTCCGGTCCACGGGTCACGTGCGGCCTGCCAAACTTTTATTTGCGGCCCGTAGCACTTATTATTAGGACGGTGCCTAAGTTTTCAAAGTTTTTAGCGAGATATATTTAAGTTTTGTTATTATTATAGAAGCCATGTTAAGGCCACAGGTACTGGTAACATGGCAACAGGTACTGGTTCAGGTCTAATCGGATCGAAGGAGTTTTTCTTTATCCTTGTCCAATCTTTGTATCAATAAAAGCGTCATAAAATTTCATAACAAAAAATTAATATTTAGTTTTTGTATCTTATTACATTTACCACCTGACATTTCAAATCTGTTTTAACCTGATCCATCTTTTCTACTTCCGAACTTATTACTGTGAATTGTGGATAAACGTATTAATTGCAATCAACTGTCATTATTATTTCATTGTCAATGGACCGACCTGACAATGAAAAGTGAATAGGCAAATTATCAGATGATTCCTGACTAACTGTGACAACGGTGTTTCCCCTCAACATTTCCCTTATTCCGACATATAATAAAATTTTAATAATAAGATTTAAAAAATCCAGAATTCCAATATTTGAAAGAAATAAAGTTGTATCTTTATTTCCAGGCAACAAGGCCTAGGTGTGGTATGGGTGGCACTAGGCGGCAGGTGTCTAGCATGGGTGGGCGCTTTGCTAGCAGATGCGCGATTGGAAGCGCTATCGTGCGGGGATGTCACTAGTCAGTCGGCTGCGCCGTTGCACATCCTCGCGCAACATACTGCGCATCAGCGAGAATTAAGGCTTGCGCAGGCCGCGCCATTACACCAGGTGAGTTGTAACCCTAACGGAACATCTATTTTTCTATTGCTAAGTCAATAGGTTATACAGGACGGCGGTAGAGTAATATAAGATTTTCCTATCTACATTTTATTACTTGAAACTTGTTGAAACACTTATTAAAACTTGTTATTTTTTATTGTCTACAGCTTTTGGTAGCCCTTGGCGTAGTGTGCTACCGCAAGGCGACGAATCTCAAGCGCGCTGTGGTACAAAAGCAGCACCAGGACGCCGACCCCGACCGCTCTGACTCCACTGTCTACTTCCAGGACATGATCCTCTGCTCAGAGGACTCGGAGACTGACGATGGTAATTTAAATTATATTAAAATATTTGTGGTACACTAAAGTATGCTCTAATACATAGTTTCCCAAAGTGGTGAAGAGTCCTACTGCCGTCCACTAACTAAAACGCGGATAAGTGAGAATGGTCAAAATATCCGTTTTATATAGAAAAAGATAGAGCACAAAATTCTCTTTTGAAAACAGTTACAATTAGTTAACGTGTTCGACTTATCGGAACTTACCCTAACGATACATAGCTGAAGTATTATTTAGCGGAAGCAGCCTAGGCTCCCGGTTCTAGTCCTGGTAGGGACTTCGGAAGCAATTGGGTGGGCGTTGATGCTATATAGGAGGTGCTACCGCATTTGAAAAAAATGAATTATATATATAAACTGCACTACATAATATTTTTTTGTCCTTGTAATTTTTTGTGTCAATATAAAAAAGTGTTTTAATTTTTTTTTGTGGGCCTAAGTGACCCAAAAAGTTTGGGAACTTATGCTATTTTATTAATTGACTTTAAAAAAAAGGAGGTTCGCAATTCGAACTTATTTTCTTTTTTTTTGTATGTGTGTTACTCGATAACTCCGAAATTTGTGAATCGATTTTGAGGATTATTTTTTGTTGGAAAGAGAATACTTCATCGTGAAAAAAAAAATTAAAAAAAAATTGGCAAACTAGGGGAAGAATCCGGTTTCGCGCACTTTCTGGTAACTGATTTCAATAAAACTTGGCAAATAGATTTAATTCCACGATCTTTTGAAGTCGGTTTTTTTAGCACTCTGCACTAAGATTATTTGTGTATTAATTTTCCTACTCCATAGTTAAATGTATTTTCTTTCTCTTGCACATAACACCACCCCATTTACCTGTTATGAATGTAAATCTAAAGTTTACAAATGCATCGTATGTATTAACAGACAGCGAGCCCCTTTTCGGGCTGTGGTTCGAGTCGACACTAGTGGCGCCGGACGCAGCGGACTCAGGTCTCGTACGCGCAACCGCCGGTGCAGATAACGCGGACTCGGCGGATACGCCGTCGCGCCCACACCAGGCTATTGTGCCAGATAAGGCTGAACCTTATTCTGTAAGTATTTTCTTCTATGAAATCCACGTTTATGATTGACCATCGTCATTATCATGTCGTGTATTCCATTCTAGTACATAGCGTTAGCGACGGAAGTGTTCACGCTGCTCACGCAAGAGATCATCAGCGAAGGCTCTGAACGGCTTGGTCAGACATCTCTACAGCTGCACGATGCTCATCAAGCGCTGCTTGCCGCGCTTGCCAAGGATCTCGACCGTGAGACAGCTAGAACTGATACTGGTACGTGTGAACAACATAAATATATGATGGATGTGTCAACAACATAAGTTTCACACAGGCGGCGCTGACGCCGAGAAAGTCGTTGAAACCCTATTTAAAAATCCACAACAAGCACATAGAGAAATTCTTAAAATGTGCTGGCTCGATCCGTAGCGCAATTGGCAGAGTAGCCATGTCAAGGCAACAGAAACTGGTTCAGGTTCAGTTGGATCGAAGGAATTTTTCTTAGTGTGTGTTCCATCTTTGCCTCTATATGTAATAAATATTCAAACAGTTTGACAGTATTGGTTACATACAACAGCAAGTATGTAGAAAAAAACTTCAACCCCTGAAACTTTCTGTGGCTGTCACAGTGGTACATTGACACAAAGCTACAAAGTAGTATTTACATAATCTCGCATTCCTACACATTTCTAGGTTAATTATCACCAATTTGTAAAATTTTGGGTGAAATGTACTGTATTAGATTTTAAATATAATGTTTCTTTTATCTTTAAACAAAGATAAACTCGACAATTTGTGTTTCCTTAACAATAACATTTGGTTATTCTGACCACTAAAGCAAAGTTTTTGCAATGAAATAAAGGTTTTTTTCATGTTTTTATGTTAGAACCAATTACAAAATCATATTGATAACCCAGAAACAACAATCGTGCTACATGGTGAATAATTGATAGGTTTATTTTGCAGCTACGTAAGTTCGTTTACAAAAGGAAATGCCTTTCTGCTTCGCTAGGTACAATCTCGACCTGTTTCGGCGCGCGTCTCGGTGCCCTATACACAACTTTCAGTTCGGCGTTAGTACGCTATCTGCACAACCTGACTGGGGCGCCGGCATTCGTCGCACTACAGCCTGCCTTACACCAGCAACTCATTTCAGCTGGCTCTGAGAGGAGCAATATGACCCCGCTACAGGTAATTCGATGCTGTTAATTGTTTTTTAGACATTTAGAAATTGGTGTGGTTGTCTGGCTGTCACATTGTCATTGTTATGATTATTGTACGTGTCCCCATGAACGTGTCAAGTACACTATTTATCTATTATTCGGAGTGAATGAATAGATCACTTCCTGATGACGTTTACGTGCTCACATTTTCTAGGTTAAGTTTACTATTTTTCGTCCGTCATGCTATATGTCATTAATGCTCAAATAGGTTGGACCTCGCGTAGTCAAGCTGCTAGGCAGTATGGTGCTGAGTAAATCAGCGGCAGAGCGCGAAAATAGCATCCTAGCGATGTGGCACAAGATCGTCAACACGCTTCAAGAGTGCGCTCTGCAGTCTCAACCTTCGCAGGATCACGATTATGAAGGTATGTATCCTTTAAGTCGAAAGTCCACAACACGTTTAACACGTACTATCGTCTCTGGACATCGAGTGATATAGTGTTTATTTTCTATTAGTTTTAATTAAAAAAAACTTAATTAACTCTAACGTTTCTTCAAAAATGTATCAATGAAATATATGTATAAAAAAATTTCAGATTTGAATGTGGAACATGCACAACTACTGGTCTACCTATTTCATTCACTGACCCTCATGCAGAAGAAATCTGTTCTGCTCATGACTTCCAACGCTATTATCAAAGTAAGTACATACAAAAAGGGGCCATTTTTTAAAAAGAAATTGTCGCAAATCGCATTAAAGCTGTAATCTAACACACATCAATTCAATCATTGATATCAATCACTTTCCACTTTAGAGAACAATGCCCAAGTCTTGGACTACGTAAAAAAAGATTGACCACCATTAATCTCAGATACAGGGTTTAATTTGTATTTCCATGTAGTCTAATTAAACGGATTTATATTTTTTTGTCTAGGGGAAGTTGATTTAAGCAACATTTTCTTTTTGAGGTTATTAATGATAATTGATACGTTACTTTGAAGTACTGAGTTAAATATTATTGTAAGATAAATATAGTTTTGCGTACACATCAAAAGTAATACTTAGGTTCATTACGACAAACTAATGAAGTAAAAATGGTGCAAAAATATACTATTTAAAAAAATACTTTCATAACCTTGAATGCGTTATGAATAAATATACTCCCGGACACATAAATCGAGCCACCTTGCATTTTTATTCTCAAAGGAGAGAATACAAATATATTTATCACTGAATAAAATAACTTTTCCCGGTTTTATAAATTCAAATTATCAACAAGGACTCATGGAAATGACGTTTAGTTTACCAATTTCAAAATAGCTTAGTGGTTTTCGATCAATCAAACATTATTTAAGCTTAGGCCAATTAATACTGAAAATGCAAGGTGGCTCGACTTACGTGTACTAAAATGGTTTAGACTTGCAATTTTTTTTATCACGACCATTTCAAATTTTATATTCATCTCTGTATATATATATATATAATTATAATTAAAAATATAATTTAGAATATAAATTTTGAAACGGTCATGATAAAAAAAATTGCGAATCTAAAATGGTCATTGTTTTTTTATGTCAAAGATCATTTATTCCATAGGTAAGTAAGTAATGTAAGTATGTAATTCTGATCTTTTGGAATTGTATAGACATCCCGGTTGTCTGAAGCAAGCTTAGTTGCTCATACGAGGTTTGCACATATGTGATGCATACATAATGTTCATTTTGCTCATAGGTCGTGGAAACACTAGCAATAAGTGACAGGAAGAAATCTATGACATTGGCCCCTCACCAATTAATGCTGACTACCAGACTCATGTTACTTCTGGAGTACCTCATGAAGCATCTGTATGACGCTCCACAGACTTTGCTACAACAGGTAAGCAGGAAGTTAATATGTATTATATATTATTTGATGCCGCCACAAATTTATAATATTAATTTATCTAAAGTGCTGAGAAAAGCCTTATGCTATTTAAAACACAAGTAAACAGTCTAATTAAATGTACTATACAATGTCCGAAGTTTTAAATAACAAATCCTTTATTTCGTTGAGTAATCTTTAACATTTGTATATTTATTTAGATTAGATTGATATATATTTATTCAAATTGTTATTATTTTGACATTTAGTTTCATTTTGTAATAATTATTATTATCATTAAAATTGACCCGTCTAACTTACACCGCGTTAAAATTACAGTTAGGTGTGCACGCTCATATGCTATTATTAAAAAACATGTCACAGTTTAGTCTGTTAAAATGCTTGTGAGTAAATGCATAATATACCTTCGATATGTTTAATGTTTGACCAGACATATTGAAACTGTACTTCATAAATAAATTTTTGATTATATGTTAATCTACTTACAGACACCACACAAAAACTGACGTTTTTGACTGTTTACGAATGTACAATTAACCAGTATAATTAATGATTATTAGTTTCATGGATACACCACCTAGATATCTTTGCAATCTTGTTTCAGATTGAATGGAATCTCGTTATAGCTCCCGGTCTAGCTCAGCCGTCAGTGGACACTAATTCTGGCACAAAAACTACCACAGACAGTGGGCTATTGAAAGCGCGCATCTACTGCGAAGTGCCGTATATCGAAATGTCTTACAGACGTCAGACCCAGGATGAGACGTCAATGAGACCAAAATTTTATTCGCTTACTAATGCGGAAATCAACAATCAGGTTAAGTGTCTGTCCACACTATTCTATGTCAAGGCGCTATGGGCTACGGTCCGTCCGGGCTAGTGTCCTGTCTTTGCACATAACAGAGACATTGGCGTCTGCGTTTTCCTTTTTACCATCTCTGATAACACTGACATAGCGTATGTTAGTGTCTGAAACATTGAAAAAGTTTATACAGAATGTATGCAAGCTATTCGTTTCCGGTCCTTTGTGTCTAGGATACCGACGCCGATGGCCCGAAATATATAGCAGACCTTGAAAAACGAGAAAGAACTAGCGTACTTTCGTGCGTGTTTCCTGGTTAGATTTTTCGTGAATTCTTTGAGTGTTATAGTGATTTTTATTTTACGTTTTGTAACGTTATGACCATGTAATACAGAAGTGTGCATACTTCTAGGCAGGGATCACGTACGTATACGTACGTACGTGTCCTTTTTGAAGATGGAGTAAAACGACATTTGTGGGATTGCCAGTTTTCATAAAATTTTAAATAGTTACGTAGTTGTTGTCGATGGTTTATCGATAGATTGTGAAAAAAGATAAAAATTTTGCATGTTATTTGAATTATGTTATGAGTTGTGAATGTTGCGACGTTCTAATAGTTACTAATTGCGTTATTGCCTTCTTTATTCTTATTTTGACAGTTGGCCTACAAGTATCGAGATCAATTTTATTAATATACCTTTTGACAATAATAGCCGGATTTAATTATATATTGAATTAAAATGAAAAATTTTAAAATATGTCCGTTCTTGGTATTTTGCATAAACATAGTTCTAAATACAGTGTATGTATGTATGGGCTTACAAAAATTTGACAATTCAAATGAATTTGAACTCAGCAATTGGATGAATAATGTGTGGTGAAACAAGTTCGGGTATTAATTCCATTAGCGTGACCAATATTCAGTCGATAGTCGATAGAATATTTATCGACTGCAATCACTAGCTGCTCTCAAGCGGGCAACACTTTTGCGCAATCAACTGTCAGTTTACTCCGTTTTCAAAAAAGACAGACTATATAAATACATTATGCTATGGTTTATGTACAGGAAAACCCCAAATTCGACGGCTTAGCGTGCAACTTCGTGCTTGGTACACCACATAAGTTAAAATACCCGTTACTAGTGGACGCACTGCTAGCACTATTGAACTCTGCGTGCGTCTGTGACAATGTTCAGTACCATTCGTCACCCGCCGCCTTAGCCGCGGCGCATTACTGCTTCCAAACTGCATGGAGGTGAGTCAACTTCAAATAATATGGTATTGTTATGTATTATGAAAAAAATGTAAACCGATAGATAAACAATTTAGTAGCAGTAGAGCTCCTTGTCAAAGAGTTCGTCCAGGGGGTCAATCGCGCTAATTGTCAACGGTAAAACCAAAACCTTAAACCTCGCCAATGTGACGCGTTGCGTACATTTCGTATCGCGCTAACTGTCAAAACAAAAACCAAAGCCAAACAAAAAGGAAACGTTAGACGTGTGACACGTTACGCACATTTGGTATCGCGCTACAGGGAAGCACTGCCGCCTTACCTATTTCTGTCGCTAAGCAGTAATGTCAGCATTAATGTGTTCCAGCTTGAAGGGTAAGGGTATTGGTGAAGGCACATGGGACTTGTCAACTTATGTCTCAGGGTGACAGGCGCAGTGGCAGTGCCCCTCAGATGTTTACGATTTAGTGCTCTGTGGCATATACACACATCAAAAAAAGTTTGCGATCACTTCGAAAAACTGAAATCTTTTTTGTTACTGTAGATTATATTATGATTTTTTCTTCTTTTTAGATTCTTTATTTAAAAATAAATTAAAACATAAAACAATGACCCCGTTCAATTGTTTTTTCATATAAAAAGGCTTTCAGTCCTAGCTTACGCTCATTCAGAAATCTGATTTAGTCAATTATAAGCGATTCAAGATATTTTTCGCGGAAAGTTGTGATTGAAAAAATGCCAAGAGGATTATCAGAGGTTTTACGAGCTAGAATAGTAACTTTGAGGGAAGAAGGATACACCACGAGAGTAATAGCACGCAGACTAGCTATATCCCAATCCTGTGTCGTGGCTACGTTGCAGAGGTATCACGGAATGGGGAATTTAGCTGACCGACCCCGCAGCGGTCGCCCAACTGTTTTGACAGCTGCCCAAAAGCGCTATATTAGATTTCTGGCAGCCCGTGATCCAACAATCAACGCCACTAAAATAAAAGCAGAAGTCAGGGCCGCCTCTGGGCTTGAAGTTAGCACGCAGACCGTTTGCAATTGCTTGCACCAGGCTGGATTACGAGCACGGAGGTCTTGGCGAGCTCCGCTCAATTCCCGGCAACGTCAACAACGAAGATTGCAGTGGGCTAGACTTCGGCAAAATGAAGAAGGTGAGGACGAAAACATTTGGCAAAACTGTCTCTTCGTTGACGAATCCCGAATCAGCAATCATCCAGATAACCGACGTGTCCGTGTCTGGAGAAGACCAGGCGACCGTGAAAGACAAAGAACTGCCACTGGAACAGTTCAGCAAGGCGGAAAATCGATGTCCTTTTGGGGTGGCATTATGATTGGAGCTAGAACGCCTTTGATCCCGTATCGGGGCTTCATGACAGCAGACATGTACAAAGCAGTTGCTATTGATGATATCGTCAGACCATTCCGAGTAAACCATGGGCACCAATTTGTACTGGTCGATGATAATGCGCCGGCACATCGAGCTCAACGAGTCAATGCTGCTCTTCAAGAATACGATATCACACGATTAGACTGGCCTGCCGGCTCGCCCGACTTAAACCCAATAGAGCACGCGTGGGATGCTCTTAAACGAGCAGTATGGAACCGTGAGCCACGTCCCCAGACAGTTCCAGAGCTCAGGGAAGCCGCTATTGAAGAATGGGATAGGTTACCCCAGGAAATGCTGGATAACTTGATCCTCAGCATGCCCAGGAGGATCTTCGCATGTATTCGAGCCAGGGGAGGAGTTATTTTATATTGAATTCACACCTTTTAATAATAAATTGTTGTTTAAGTTTAATTAAACAGTCTTTTTCTTTCTATGAAATTTCTATCACTATTACATTATGATTAATGGCTCAATTTTTTAAAATAAATAATAAAAAATAGTTTTATATTTTAATTTCAAACAGGGTATTCCTATTTAAAGAAAGCATACAACATAGATTTTTTCTTGATAAAGTTAAATTTAAAGAATTATAGGAGCTTATGCTATTGATCGCAAACTTTTTTTGATGTGTGTACAACATAGACGTGTATCTCACCATCAGGCGCACGACTTGCTGGTCTCGTCACTTAATAATAGGGGTTAAAGTATGAAATTGCCGATTTGTACTGAAAATCTAAATTGTTTATTTTTTAACAAATTTATTTAATCAAAATAGTTGCCATTATTATCTATACATTGCTGCCATCTAATGGGAAGGTTATTAATGCCTTTGCGATAGAACTCCGACGATCTAGACTGCACAAACTGTGTGAAAGCATTTTGTACTGCCTCCTGGGAAGAAAACTTCTTGTCACGTAGATAATTGTCCAAATCACGAAAAAAATGGTAGTCCGTTGGAGCAAGGTCTGGTGAATACGGAGGATGACGAATGGTTTCTAACTGCAGTTCCTGAAGGGTCAAAATGGTTTCTCGTGCTGTGTGAGGTCTCGCGTTGTCGTGGAGCAATAATGGTGAAGATCGATTCATGAGTCGGGGCTGTTTTACTGCTAGTTTTGTCAACATGGTTCGGAGTTCGGCACAATAGACATCTGCCGTTATTGCTTGACCAGATCGGAGAAAACTATAGTGAATAACACCATGCTGAGACCACCAAACAGTTACCATTACCTTTTTATTGGTAAGTTGTGCTTTAGGACACTGTTGTGGCATTTACCTGGGGTCAGCCATTGCATTTCTCTTTTCCGGTTATCATAAAGAATCCACTTTTCATCACATGTTACAATTCGATCCAATATTCCTTCATTTCAGTACCGGTTCAACAAGGCAACACAAGTTTCAACACGCGTTTCTTTCTGCAGATCAATCAAATCATGAGGCACCCATTTTTCGTATTTTTTTATTTTATTGATTTGACGCAAGTGAGTCAATATTGTGGGTAAGGTAACGTTAAACCATGCCGAAACAGAAAAAATCACAGAAACCATTTGAAAAAAGTTTCATTCGAAAACCTCAAACCATGAAGATTCTATGAAAATTCAAAGAACCTATTGCAATAAAACGGCAATTTCATACTTTAACCCCTAATATTATAAAAAAGACAAACAGGGGTTTATCTATATATCTGACTTCAGAAATATCGGGGAAAAAAATCATACCGTGGTAAAACCTGTAAATTCGTGATAACAATCTAGTCAAAATGTATATTCAGTAAAAAACATTGGGGGGGAGAGAATGCCTTACTAGAAGCTTAAGGAAAATGTATGATTCATTCATTTAAATCGTATTCATTATAGGCTCGTAATAAGCATGCCACCTGCAACGCCACACATGGACAAGCTGCAAGCGGGCACAGCTGCAGATTTGCCCTCCCCACTTCCTTTGCACGCAGTCATTTGGGCACCCAGGGCGGATAATAAGAAAGTGTTCAACCCTTGGCTGAAGGACGCTCTCGTTAAACAGGGCATGTATACTCAGGTATGTTTTCATTTATTATAATTTAACCGACCGAGGTATTTCTAGAATGTAAGTGCATGTTGTCATTACAGTACGCGGAGAATTTGCTGGCGGGAGTCAGCGCATCATGTGACAATATCAAGTACACGGCCTGGCTTGCATCACAGACAATCAAACATTTAAAATCAAACCTCACTCGTAAGTACAAATTTGCTCTATTAGTTTTAAAATCAAGTTTCAATAATATCTTTGTGATTCTTTTTCGGTGAAAAAAAAAAAGAGAAATTCTAGTTTAATACACAGAATAATAAATACAGTAGAAGTGCTTAGTCTGCCTGACACGTGTGCCAATAGTATGTGAAATTCTACAAACTTAAACTCAGTCCGCCATTCTCGCTTTGTATGTTATGGTCGTGTTAATTATCTCGCGAAAAACCTTGAAAATAGCTTAAAAATGATGGTCGCACTTGTAATATTGTCTATGATGGTGTTTTATATCATTGTTAAGTCTTATTTTATTTAATTTTAATAAATGTTCAATTTTCGATTTGAGTTGATGATTTTCTTGTTACAAGAAATGAAAGAGGTCATTTCTTTTTTAGAGAACTAAGTAAACATCTCGAATTTTCCACGCTACTCATAGGCATCGTCGTCGTTCAACTATTGACCGCTAGACGACAGCACATTAATTGATATTTCAATATAAAATCAAAACGTCGTAACTTGCAATAATAGGTATTTCACTTTCAACGATATGCCAACAGGGTAAAGTTTAAATTATATAACTATCCAAAATTTGTTATTTTTTTTAAATTAGGAACTACGACCAATCCTTATCAAGATTTCATAATGTTTTAAATTATGTATGTGTGAGTTTAATCATGGGGAGTGGCACAGAAACTTGGAGGCCTATACCCAGCAGTGGGTGAAGTCAGGGTGTATATGATGATGATGATGATGTGTGAGTTTTGGCGACAGCGGATTTAATAATAATCGAGGCTTACGACACTTCCATTGCTTTTTTCTTTCGTGTTTTAATGTACCGTTTTTTAATTCTGTAATAGCTAGCGGTCTGCCATCATTATTGGATGTAATATCTTGCGACTCCGCTCTCGTGAGGTTAAAGGTGTGCCTGGCAGACACCGCCTCAGCGACAGAGGCTCATCAATTCATGCCCGATCTCTTGGAGTTGTTGGAAACTGTATTAGACTGCTGCCGGTAAGTTCATTACTTTGTCTCTTCGTGCAGTAGATTACAATGCCAAGTTATGGTGATTAAATTTTTTGCCTGATGTCTCTCTACGTCCCTATTTTAGGCCTTATCTACAAATTGGAACTGAAATTAATTGTATGTAATTAGAAAGTCATACCGTTTTGCCGTTGTTATTTTATATTAACGCTGATACAGTGCCTGGATCTGCAATATTTCAACTTGTTTACAGATTGAGCGCAGGTCTTGAACTATCATCTCTAATGGAGAACACAAACAACCCATCGGAGATGGCTGTAAACGTAGTTCGTCTACAAGTGTGCGCACTGGCTGCGTGCACTGCGTGCGTTAGTGGCAACGGGGGAGCGGCAGGTCCGGGGGGCAACACGTCCCCTCCCGCGCTGGGTGCATGGTTGCGCGCGCATCTGCCGTCGAATGCGGCAGCTGCTTTGGAACGATTGGCTTCTCCACCGCCTCTTGCATGCATCAATCTTGTAAGTGTCTCCTGCCTACTTACTTCGTTTATATAGGACAAAGACTTCGTATACATAGGATAAATACTATAGTAGCTCCTTGTGAAAGAGTTCGGCCAGAGAAGTACTGCCGCCATTCTCATTTCTGCTGCCAAGCAGTAATGTGAGCATTCCTGCGTTCCGAATTCGAAGAGCAAGCATGCTGGTTCAACTAACACAAAACTTGTCAAATTACGGCTCAAGGTGACGAGTGCAGAGGTAGTGCCCCTCAGACCTTTGCTTTTTAAAGCTCTGAGTGGCACTGCAACTATTATGGGTAGGCGTGTCGCTTACTTGTTCGTCCCGTCACTTAAGAACAAACACGTATATAATTTCTTAAACACATCGACATCGACACAGCGACATACATCTGTCGTCTCTATTATAGTCATGAATGTCGTCATAGTTAATGTTTCATAAGGGTGCGTACCAATCTGGCGAATGCGCCTGTTTGCGAATTGCTCGCGAGCTGCACACGTCCATTTCGTATTGCGATCTGTTCTCGTGCCACTCGCGTGTCATGATGCATGCCTTGCGTGAGATGGCGAATCACAGAGGCGTATTTACTGCACGCGTGCAGCGCTCCCTCGTCGTGCACATGCAACGCGTTCGCCAGATCTGCGCACAGATATATTTTTTCTTTGCCACTGCAAAATTACCAATTCCGAAAACATTCAATCTTTTTCCAGGCATTTTATGCATCCCACATAATACCATCAGAGAGTGCTGTTCTGAATCTCGTCTCGTCTCATTGCGAACTAATCAGCACGACTCATAACAAGTACTCCATTGGCCCGTCGCTCATGATGCTGGCGTATTCCGCCGCTAAGCTTCTCGAAGTGGGTGCAAGTAAACTCGCCGATAATCCGGAACTTATGAAGAAGACTCTTGACCTCATTGTACCGGCCTTGGTAAGTTTTAAAAGATCGTAGGAACTTGAATTTAGTGCCAATAGACAATAGCAACTTATGGCATAAAAAGTCGTTAAAATACCAAAGACAAAGATCTACAACAAGCACATATAAAAATTCGTAAAATCCGCTGATTCATTCCGTTGCTTAGTAGGCATTGCGTCTGGCACGGTTTGCTAGAAGACGTCGGTTCGAATCCGTTCGGATCATAGGATTTTTTTAGCAACTTTTTTGACATTGTTTTTTATGATTCAAATAGAATCTACATTAAACATACAATACTTCTGTTATTTTTATATGATGTTTTCCTATTTAAATTTAATTGTTTAAACCAGCTCATTTCGAAAAATTTTTCGTCACTCTGACGTCACAATAGCGACGAGAAAACCACTAAAGTTATTTGAATTTGCGTGTTTCAGTTATTTCGCATATTTGGTTCGGATAATTAGAAAACAGTTATGGAAAACTATGTACAAGAGATATATTCATATTTCAAAAATATTTAACAATACTTAAGTGGAATGATGTGGTAAAAAAATCTCTTAAATAAAAATAAAGCAAAATTTGAATGTCAAGTATCAAAATTGCAAGGGTATAATACGAAATCGGTTTTCATTCAAGAAACACGTCGTGGTACAGACTACAACTGCCTGGACGGGGCTTTCATTTTTTTTTCTTAAAACTACTACTTAAAAATTATTAAAACAAAAAATAGTATGATTACCAAAAAATGGGTCTACAAGAACAAATTTTAAGAAGGGCTCGTTGCAAAAACGTGCTATTGTCAATTTGCCTTACACAGTAGACATTTGGCTTGTCACCCTTATCACTTTTTTTCAATGACATGAAAAAATGGACCTGTGTGGCCATTGCAGACTTGAAATTGTCATTCTATTCACTATCTGTATTCCACAGACTGACGGCCGTCTCGAGTTCATGTCAGAACCACTTGCAGCAACCCTGAACACATTAGTACCACAACCTCCAAAGGCTGAACAATTAGTTCACGAACATATTCTGAGAACTACATACACTGTACTTGTAGACCACTTGCAACCGTCTACAGAGAAGACTCTGCGGCATGTAGTGAAATATTGGGAGAAGATTCTGGATCGTCCAGCTGGTAGACTGGCCTATGAAGCTGTTTTCTCTGACAATTCTGGCTATTCATTAGGCAGAATTCTGCTGACAGCTCCAAATGCGAGAAACCATTACACAGAGCGGGTCATTAAGTAAGTATACCCAGTAACACTAGCAATAGAACTCCTTGTGAATGAGTTCATCCACAGAAGCACTGCCACCTTATCTATTTCTGCCGCCAAGCAGTAATCCTCACATTAGTGCGTTCCGGTTTTGAAGGGTTAAGGGTACTGGTGAAATTACAGGCATATAGGACTTGTCAACTTATGTCTCAGGGTGTCGGCCGCAGTGGTAGTGTCTCTAAGATCTTTGCGATTTAAAGCTCGAGTAGCACTGTACCTGTTATGGGGTAAGCGTGTCGCTTACCACTAGACGCACGACTAGTTCGTGCCGTCGCTTCATATCATAAAAAACCTAAAGTGTGACTGTTTAAGGGTCGTATTCCAGAACTCTACTCAATGCTCAAGTCAGGACTTGAGTATGATTCAAAGCACTAGAAATCATACTCAAGTCCTTGCCATTAGGTTCGTATTTCCAGTGCTTGAAATCATACTCAAGTCTGCTTAAGTTCTGACTTGAGCATTGAGTAGAGTTCTGGCATACGACCCTAAGTTTCCGAGACCAACTTCACAAAAAAGACGTCAGATATAGCTAATATTTGACGCCTTTTTTTGTGTTCGGTTCAATTCATATTAGTCAAAGAATGCTCCTCCTGGAACGTTGATGAAAACGCGGTCAAAACGATACATCCAATGAAAATTACGCCAATTTTATTTTTGGTCATTTTCTGTTATTTTTTTAAACAGTCATATTTATTTACTTACTAACATTATGCTCCCCGAATTTTGAGAAACAAAAAACAAAATCAAAACAGAACATATCCACCAATTAAGTTGGCGTAGTGTTTGTTCATTGGAGGTATCGCAAAACTTCTTAATTGATGTAAAAATTGCTACATACATTGTCCATTTTTTTCAGATTATTCATCAAAATATTTTCCGGATGCGAAAGTTCGGAATTGAGCAGCAAGCTCTGTATCTCTGTGTGCAAGTACGTCGGCGTTGCGGATCAGCAAAAGCTTGGCAGTCTTCTCGCTCATATCTGCTTGGGCACGCCTTGTAAGTGAAAGAGACAAAAATCACTTTAAAATCTATCTTTTCCTGCTTGTCAATTAGAACGTAACGTATCGTACATTTTTTTATAGCTTCCGTTCGCAGCATCCGTTTCGCTCTCGTTCGGCTCTAGCCGTTTAGGTAGTTTTAATGGAGTCTTTCCGCAAATTATACAATAATAAATAAATAACGCACACACTCAATATAGTTCAGTTACCTTGACATTGTAAAAGACAATAATAACATTTATTTACCAAAAAAGGATTGCATTACATTTGCATGAACACTATAATACTATTTATACTACTTAGCTAGGTAGCTGGTATAGGTACACTACCTAGCTAGCTATAGCACAGGAGATAGTTAGGGAGTTAGACACAACTTTGTACTTAGTTTTGTTTCTTGCCAATTATTATTTATATTTTTAACGCTATTTTGCCAGTGATTTGTCGCGGTTCTTGCGCTAAGTATATCGTTGTATCGCAGATAACTAATTCCATTAAGTATACATTTGACGGTTTATATGAAAAGATGACATGAGGGTTTATAAATGTTGACAAACTATTACATAATTCTTTTTCTGTTAAAAAGTGCAATTGCTGTTTTTTTAGCGTCAACGACAGCTAGCGCAGGCACAGCCAATGGTACTCCTACAGAAACAGAACTTCCGACTCCTACATCATCTGCACCTGAAACCGGCGGTAATCCAGCCTCATTGGCCCTAAGAAATGCACTACGTAGTGTATTCCGTACTGAAAGTGATTCAACACAGCGGAATGAGAACACCGCGCAACGCAGTGAGGATCTGCCCGTATTTGATACACCGTGAGTTTTTCCTTGCATTCAATTGGCAAGGCTTTATTTAGAATAGAATAGAATCCATTTATTACATAACGCTACAACACAATAACACACAGTAAGAAATTAAAAAAATAAAATAAAATAAAGCTAAATTAAAACAAACAGAAAATAGAATAACAAAAAAAAACTAAATTAAATTAATTAAATTTAAAAAATTAAAAATTAAATCTTAGTTATAAGTAATTAAATGACCACAAAGCGATTCAACAATATTGTTGTACTAAGTAGATGTCATGTGTGCGGGTGTGGCTTATGTAATAGGATCCAAACAGCTAATATCACCGCCGGGAAAAGGCTGTAACGCTGATTTTCAGTGGACTCTAAAACCGAGTGAGTACCGGACGTGTCGCGTATAAACTAAAATAAATTACGTATATGTTTCTGTAATGTAGTATGGTGTGTTCTTTTATATTTATAAAATCTTAAATAATTCATTTGGTACATGTATACAGTGATGAGCGTGTACAATGTAGTGTCCATTATTTACAACAAAAAAATGGAACTTATTTAGTTTAAAAACATATTGATTGCGAGATTTGTGTCGTAGGCGCGCGGGAGGGGTTTAGCGCCGTTGTAAGCAAACAGGTTTCGTCCTGCATCGTAGGTGCTTACCACGCATAATAGCGTATGTCTCCTATGCCAAAAATTTAATTACAAATTTACTTAAAAGCAGTATTGTATTTTCTATCTATAATATTTTATGTCAAGAGATATTAAAGAATTTCCATCGTTACAGTTCGCCCGCGCCGAGAGCTCAGTCAGATACAACTCAGCAAGGCAACTCAGGTATCGTTATTATTGATCTTTTTTAAAATTCCGATTCTGACTTTTGTCACAATTGACATACGACCTTGTAAGAAACAATACAGAGCAGAACCTGTGTTATTGTAGGAAATAGTTGGTCGGATGGCACCAAAGACAACGGAGCCCCAACCACTGCCGTCGCGGTTAACAACGAACCGCAATCGGCTCCATTGACTGAAACAAATGACAACGCCGTTCTTTTATCTGCTATTTGCAAACATGTGCAGCATCATTGGTAAGTAACGAAGCACATAATGTTTGATATTCAACTGTACTCATATGGAGTATATATAAGAGATACTGTCTGTAACAATTTTGCTTTAGACAAATAAAATTACTGTCACGATAACGCATAACATTGTTACAAATTCCCACCTCTCATTAAATAATGGCATAAGAAGAATGACATAAGTGAAGTTACAACAAAAATGTTTATTGCTCCATAGGATTCAGAAAAATATAACCCACATCCTCTCTAATTTTTTATTTTATTTTTCTGTATCCAACGGAGCAATAAACATTTTTGTCGTAACTTCGGGGTGCGAATTCATGAATCACATATTTATAGGGTTTGCAACCATTTTGTGCTAAAACAACCGTGACTTACAGGGCTTTCTGTAATTTTGAATCGGCAAATACGTATATAACAATGTCACATCTACCAAACCTACGTTATGGATTACGTGACTACACACGATTCGTATTTACAGCAGCGAAGACGTGAGCGAACGCATGCTAACTACATTGATCAGCGTATGCGGCGAGAGTGTAGTTTCGCCTCTCCTATTGAGAGAAATGTGCCGCCTCGCAGATGCTCATACTGGCACTGACCACCGGCAGCTGTTCCCGGCCGCTGTCAACTGGCTTTCTACTTGGTAAGAGAATATAAAATTAGTTATATTTCTGTTGATTCTTGAAACTAAATCCAGAAATGTTATTAAACATTTATACAGTACAACTATTGTCTTAATATCTCTCGGCAATCTTCGGATTTCCCATTGCAACCGAATATTAGTTCTATAACAATTTGAATTCAGAACTTCGTGCTCATCGACCTACGACTTTGATTTGTTTTGATGTGAACTACATAGAGCTTTAAAACTATTTCTCTTTCTAAAACAACATTTAATCCTTAACAATATACTAAGCAAGTTAACAAAAGTATTACCAAAATAATAGTATTCTATATACTTCCAAATCTTTTAAGTGTGTTCGATCTACACGAAGTGCAAAGGGCAACCCGACTGAAATCCTACGACAGCCAAAACTTTGTATTGCCGATAGAATAGTTGTATTGTATAAAGATAATTGGCACTACATTCCATTCCGGTACTCTAATTCTGCATATTTCTATCCCCTATAGTGTTGAAAATCTAAGTAGCCCAGAAGTCCTTGAAAAACTGGAAGAAGGTCAGGTGGACGGAAACCTCGCGCCACAAATTGAGTCCGCCTGTGTGCTACTGTCGTATCTCGCAGACGCTTTGCATTCTATAAACACTACACAGCCACATAGTAAGTTTTTTAATATTTTCTACCTTTTTATCACCATCTAATTCTTCGATAGACTTTAAAACATTTTACTTCACTTGTGACAGCGTGGCGCTCGGTCAGTCCCACGTGGGAGTCACCATCGGATCTCGGATTCGATTTCGACTACACTGATGAACAACAGGACGATGATGACACTAGTGCGGATGATTCTGTAAGTAAATCATGAGATATCTAATAATATTTTAGGTAAAAGCTAGACCTCAATAAACCTTTCTCTGAGAAAAAATGTCCATCAAAATGCGAAATGTTTGATGCTATAATTTTTTTTTTTTCAACAACTCGCCCGCAGGATGAGGACGCAATGCTCCAATACAAACTCTGCACTTTCACGGTAACGCAGCGCGAGTTCATGAATCAACATTGGTACCACTGCCACACATGCAAGATGGTGGACGGTGTAGGTGTATGCACAGTATGCGCAAGAGTCTGCCATCGCGGTCATGACGTTTCTTATGCCAAGTTTGGAAACTTCTTCTGTGATTGTGGAGCAAAACCTGATTCTAGGTACGTGTACATTAATTAGAATGCAATTATTTATATTAAGTGTCCGATTGATATAAGCCATGGTAGCCTAATGGTTTGACCTACTGCCTCCCTAGCAGAGGTTGTTGATTCGAATCTGGCCTCGCACCTGAATTATTCCGAATTTATGTGCGAAATTTAATTTGAAATTTACTATGAGCTTTTCGGTGAAGGAAATCTGCACGTCAAAGATAGCTCACAACACTAGGAAAACTAGTGAAATCCCCGAACCGCATTGATCCAGAATGCACGTCGATCCGTGCCCAGCAGTGGGACATATAAATGGGTTGATGCTGATTTATGTTCGAGTATTTGGCAAGACCACCTCAAGTGCAACATAGTTTTTATTTATAAATAAAGTAGTTAACCATTTAGCAACCGTAAAAAACTGTATTGGGTTTAATTTGCGATGATGAACTATAATTTATTACTACTACTAAATAATGATCTTCCCAGCTGTCAAGCTTTAGTGAAACGTTCAGTGTCCTTGGGCGCCAACCGCAGCGCGAACGGTGGCACTGAAGAAACTCCACCAGCCCCATCTCTGCGTCGACGACCATCGAGCCCCACTCCGCCCACTCTATTAGCCCCTCCGCGCCGGCCCGTACTCGCTTCAAATATCCAAGGTAATATTTACATTCTATACATAGTACACCTTATTTTTAAATAATTATAAAGTTTTAAACTCGCGGAACAACTTCGGTAGTTTTCCCATCCCCTTGAATGAAACAATACTTTCCAATAACTTCTCAGGATGTCGCCCATTCCTGGTGTCATACCCCGGATGGGGCGTATGTATGGAGCGCGTGCGCGTACTCCTTGGAGCTTTAGCGGGTGCAGTCCGCGCGGCGTGCTCGCGTAATGCAGCTGTAGGAGCCCATACGAGGGCACAGCGAGCTTTAGCACAGCTGCATCTCGGTGAAAAGAAATTCACGCATACTGATACACTCATGCTGCCTACACTCGGTGAGTAAATAAATCTATTTACCACCAGTTCATTTTATATTTTAACTCAGTCTGTACCAGGTGCTTGCCTGGCTAAGGAGTTAGAAGGGAGTTAAAGGCTTGACGTCCAAATCCCCTACCTTTATTCAAAATTGAGGTCAATGCAACATGTACACTAAACTTAATCTAGAGAGACAGAAAACACCGATGTATCATTCTCACACTATAAAATAAGAGTTTCACAAAGAAAGAAAGAGCCTCTAGTTCACTCTTTCGCAGTCAAGGCCATTAGCGACCAAATGTAGTGTCCTTCAGAAAAAAAATATGGCGCGCATTCTGCGTTGTTGTCATGCAGCGTCAAACGGATGTGTTCTCCAATGTTCTCCGAATGAGTCGTTTTATAGGCGACTACACCCGAAAAACTGCTTTGAAGGACGTTACATTGGTTACACATTTTTTGTAGTTGTAAATTGTTTATTTATTACGTGTGTTATGTATCCAGATTTGCATAACACACATACCTAAAACGTCAGTTCAATGCACTTGCATTCGCGCACCCCGGAACGCGCGTCCCGTGCATTGCAACGTGACCGATGCAAAACTCGTCATTTTAATTATACTTATGAGACACTTTTCGGCCCAACGTTCCTAACATCGGACGTATAATAGACTAAATTCCTTTAGTTAAGATCGTTTTCGTATAAGTACTTTTAGACCTAACGCACCTAACTTCGGACGTTCTTAAAATTATTTAGTTTAAGAAATACCTTTGTGGAAATTTAATATAGTTATTCATCATATTTTCTCGTCTTTACTTCATCTCCACTGCGGCCACCCTATATAAGTCGTGCGTTCCGTTGATACGGGAACGTTGTAGGATATCTTTGTGATCCGTTATAACTCTACCAGACTTGTAGCGAATAGACTTATAGGGTTTCCCTAGTGCAGGGCTATGTTGAGTGTGTGCGTTATTATTATTTTTTTATAGCTCTATTAGTGTATACTTGAATAAACATTGATATTATTGTACAGGGTCTCAAGAAGGAGCTTTTGAGAACGTGCGCATGTCGTACACCGGCGAGAACGGGCAGACGATCCGGCAGTTGATGTCCGCACACAAGCTGCGCCGCGTCGCGATGTGCTGCCTCGCTTCGCCGCACGGACGCCGCCAGCACTTGGCTGTGTCACACGAGAAAGGTAACTTTAGCAGTGTTTTGTGGGTAAAACTTTGTCATAGATTTAATATAAGAACTATGAACAATTATGGAATGGTTACTTTTAAAGCTAGGAATGGGCAATTGCAGTGTTCACTTAGTATGACCCTTTTATGAACAGGCAAAATCACCGTTCTGCAACTGTCAGCGCTGTTGAAACAAGCGGACTCTTCCAAGCATAAGCTGACGCTGACTCGCCTCTCGTCCGCTCCGATTCCCTTCACTGTGTTGAGTTTGAGCGGCAATCCATGGAATGAGGACCTTCTGGCTGTATGTGGTTTAAAGGAATGCCATGTATTGACCTTTAATAGTGGTGGTAAGGAAATTTCATATACTCCATTCGTTTTGTAAAGCTTACAATAAAAACGTCAAGTCAAAGCCAAACTGCAAATTGTCCTTAATAAAGGTTTCTTTTCTTTGTGAGTTAGGCTGACCCGGTTAGAATAGTGAATCACTACATTTTGTTTTCCTAATCCGGTTTTGGCTTCGATTTAATAACACTTAAAATTTTATCAAATAGTCGATGTTTCTTAGATATGGTGATTCCAATAGACTGTCGACCATAATTTCGCAGGTGCGGTAGCCGACCATCTTGTACTGAGCACTGGTCTGGAAGGAAATAACTACATCATCAAAGCTATATGGCTGCCGGGCTCGCAGACGCAGCTCGCGCTCGTCACCTCCGACTTTGTCAAGTTATTCGACTTGAGCAAGGATCTGAACAATCCTTTGCACCACTTCCTTGTGCCGAGTGGGAAGGTAAGATAAATATTAACTGCTCTCAAAGCAACACTACCCAGAACATCCAGACCAGGGTGTCTACTCTCGATCTCCGTCCGACATCCGTCCGAAACAAGTACTGTCAAATAAGTAATATTCGACAAAATTAAAAGACAAGTATCAAGTATGGAGCTTTATTCGCATCACGCGTCTTTTCGTTTGGTCAAGTATTGCTTATTTGGCAGTAATTGTTTCCAGAACCAATGTAGAAAAATTGTTATAGATGTAGATGTTAGGACTTTTAAACATAACATCTGAAGTGGTTGATCCTTATATCAACAATTGTTTTAATATCAATAGGTTCGCGACGTAACATTCGTGAACCAGGACGGCATAATGCACATGCTGTGTATGAGCTCAGCTGGGCACATTTACTGGCAGCCTATGAGTGAGGAGTCACGAGCCTCGCTCGGCACCTTCTATGTCACAAATACGCTCGAAGTTCTGCATCCAGAGATACAGGTAACATTTTTTGAATTATGATATTTGAAATTTGATGATTAATTTACAGACTGTTTTTTTTTATTTCACTATTCCGGGGTCGGTATAGAACCATATTCACAAATTCATCGATGATAAATGATACTGATATTATTGAATGCTCTCGTTAGGGTAGACCAAATGCAAAAATAATATTAAGAACTCATTTAATTAACAGGACGTAGCAGGTCTCGTAGGTGGCGGTGGCGTATCAATTTACTACTCACACACGTTGAAGATGCTGTTTTTCTCATACGCGCAAGGCAAGAGCTTCTTAGCCCCGCTCAACACCGTAGAGGAGAGCGTCAAAGGTAATAATTCCGAATCTACACAATGTCTAGATATACGATTATTCATATTACTACTATAGTACCTTACCTATTTCTACCGCGAAGCAGTAATGTGAGCATTACTGTCTTCTGGTTTTGATGAGTAACGGTCTCTGTGTCCTGAGTAGGTGTATCTGTGTGACGGGCACAGTTGCAGCGACTCTCAGATCTTTGTGTTTTAAGGCTCTGAATGGCACTGTAACTGTTATGGACAGGCGTGTCACCTACCATCAGGCGCACGGCTTGTTCGTCTCGTCACTTGATATCATTACCATTCAAAAAACACTGTATTTTAATAGTGTTCTTTTAAGTATGTGTCCATAATTCATTATAGCTTTTGTAACATGTATGACGCGAAACGTGTAATATGAAATTTAATGTATTATCTTCACATTTATACTATTTGTATACAAAATGAAGACAAATTTATAACGCACTAATTTTTACAACAACATATAAACGAGCGGTGCACTTTCAGGAACAGCAATGATCACCTTATCAGCAACATCAACTCAAAAAGAAGGCGGAGGTCGTGGTGGTGGCAAACAAGGTGGAGTGCAGTCGTTATGCCAATGGGCTGAAGTACCTGGACACCCAGGACTCGTGACTGCAGTAATGCAAGCCTCGAACAACCCTGTTGTACTCATGTTAACGCCTACAAACATATACGTTCAGGAGATCAAGGTATTCAACAATATGAATATATATCGAGTTCTTATGTTTTCGCGATTGTTACACATAGGAAATGAAACTATTTTCCGGGCAGTCGTGACCATGGGACCTATAAAGGGTCCGAAACGTTGGTTTGCTTGAAAAAACAAATATACGCGATTTAAATCCGGAAAAATAGTTTTATTTCCAATATTAATACAGACTACCATTAAATCGCTCACGTACAATTTTCCCTATAATTAAAAACGTATCCTATCCGAGATCATCCTTTGACAGTATTAAGTATTTAACGCGCCGTGTATTGGCGTTTTTAAGGGTAACTTTGCATCATACTTTAAAATGTACCATGTGTTGAAAAATATTAACTTCATTCCGAGGTTTGAATTCGAAATATAATAATATGATCTGTCAATCATAATCCGTAGGTTGTGCCAGCTAAAGCGAAAATCACTGATATGGTAGCAGTCCGCCATTGGTGCGGCGGTGGCGGTGAACAAAAGAGTACTCTGATATTACTATGTGAAGATGGCAGTCTTCGTATGTATGCAGCTAGTCAAGAACACACGGGATATTGGCTATCACCTGCTATTCAACCAACGCATGCCCCGCGACGACGACCGCGTCTTATCACGCATCACGCTAAAGGAAAAACACAACAGGTAATGTACAGGGTCAAGAGCACATCAAGCTTGATCTTAAGCGTTAAATCCAACTCTATGCCGCTTACGGCAAGAACCGTTCAAAGTACAAAGTGTCAAGCTTGACTACATCTTGACTGTGCTTTCTACCTACCTACTCTTGATATTCAGCAGAATGAGTGAATGAAATATTCTTTATTGCACATTAAAAATTACAAAAACAACACAAAACTGTCATGTATCATAGAGTAGGCTAATGTACAACAGGCGGCCTTATTGCGAAGTAGCAATTTCTTCCAGGCAACCTTAAGACAATAATTACCTTTAGTATTAATTGGCACCTTTGTCCTGCAGAAAGGGGTGAAATTGTATATGACCATAAAATTTACGCAATGATAGATAAATAGGTAGATAACACATTTATTCAGCACAAATACGAACAGAAACAAAACATTTATAATCACTTCACAGATTATAACATAAAAGCTCAAAGAACATTCATGATTAATTTTATACAAATTTACATAAAACACATACTGCGTGAAAAACAAATACTGTGAGAAAAACAAACAATATAGTGTACCTACATACATATAACTGATAAAAATGTGCTGAAATGACCATGAATCAGCATAAATACTGTAGACCGATAGAAGTCAAACAGTGCTGGTACCATATGGTGAGCGATCGCAACCCAGTAAGCCATGCCACCACACTATATATAAAGTGAAAGTGTACAATGAAAAGTAAATAATGTAAACAGTATAAGTAATGTAGGTAAGCAATATAAATAATGATGTAAGTTTACAAACATAACATTAAATTATAACAACAGGCACCAAATATGAATATATATACATATGTACGGAAATTCAGATTTACAGGTATCAAACCCATCGATTATCTATGTAGCGAAAGAGACACATCTGCTCTGACAAAAGATGTTTTGTCTGCATGACGTATGTTTTCCAAAATGCAATGTCGTATGTTTTCCACAGGCTGCTATTAAATCCAATGCAAACGGAGCACCACAGTTCCCGATCGACTTTTTCGAGCACTGCGTAGCCATGACTGACATCGAATTCGGTGGCAACGATTTACTGCAAGTCTACAATGTGGCACAAATCAAACATCGCCTCAATACAACCGGTACAGTAATCGTCAACTACAGCATGACCGCCATAAGTAAGACCCTCACAGGTCCACTGGACGTCTGAGGAGTACGTTATCGACCAATCTATATCTCATGATTTTTGTGCGTGAGTAGGACGTTAACGATGAATTCAGTGCGATCTCCTACAACGTCTTGCATATTAGAACCAATATTATGGCTGTCAATATTTTCAAAATTTTAAGGTTCTTTTCATTTTTAAAACAAGATTGTATAACTTTTTTGACAGGATTGTACGTTGTATCTACAAAGATGAGCGGTTTCTCCATGGAAGTAATCAACTCTGATCCTAACATGGTGATTTGTGGTATTCGTGTCTTGCTTGGAAGCCAAGACGTAGCTAAAACACCGGCTTATGTTGAAGTAAATATTACTTTTTATGATATTTTACTGCTTTTAACGCTTGCTTTTTTTGGATAGTCCTATATTTCCACGGTGCGTGCAACATGAGCAACAACAAAAACAGGACAACTATAGAAAAGAGATGATAAGTCTAGCGTTAAATCTCATTACTTTATTTGTTATAGAAGCACTTCTATAATCTGTTACAATCTGTTGAGGTGTTGCGCCGAGGTTGACTTTTTTCGGTGAAACCCAATCTACTGATTCATTAATCATAAAGCACCTTTTTCATTGCAATGAATGTTTTCAGGTGTACGGTCGTACTATTCAAACTCTGGTAACACGAAATCGATGGTTCGACATCCCGTTGACTCGAGAAGAGTCACTGCAATCTGACAAAAAGCTTGTCATTAATTTTGGACCTTCGCAAGACCCTGATGGAGTTACCATGGTAGACTCTGTTAAGGTAAGTTATTTTTTTAGATTGTGAAGGCCAATTAGCACTATATATTTACTGTATGTGTAGAATAGTTCAAATTCTAGTGTCGCCTAAAGTTCTATCATAATGTAAGTTACATATCGACTGTGAACTGGCAACCGGTACTATCTCAATTTTGACAACTTTACAGGTGAAGAAAAAATCATTTATATAGTTAGCATCTGGTTTATTAAATAAAAATACGTAGTGTAAATACATGTACATACATGCATACATACATACATACATACATACATACATACATACATACATACAT